AAAAAAAAAACGAACTAAACAGTCTGATAGTGAAATACATTTCTAAAATGTATATTTCGCTCTTTGCTAAAAAATATAGACACACAAAATCAAAGATGGACTTTACACTCCTTGCTCTCCCTCTCTCTCTCTCCCTCTCTCTCTCTCTCTCTCTCTCTCTCTCTCTCTCTCTCTCTCTTTCTCTCTCTCTCTCCCTCCCCCTCCCCCACTCTTTGTTTGTGTGTATTCGAAATTCGTGAGTATTTACTATCGCGCAGACTAGTCTAGGTAAATATCACTTCTAATTATTTTCTATAGTTCTCTCACCCCCACCCCACCCCTCTCTCCTCCCTCAGATCTCCCTGCAGTGAATGGAAATGAGTCTCAATCCTGTGACCACGTCATTATCACGTGACGACCACACTGAGACAACTGAACAAACAGAACTTAAGAGTGGGGACTAAGGCTCTTTTCAGGGCCTGGGGCGTCAAACACGTGTGTGGGGGTGGTGGTGGTCGCACTCTATCACAAAGTTACATAAACTGTCAGAAGATTATCCGTCTTTTTCTGAAAAACTCAAACATGCAAGAATGCATTGTGTGTGGGAGTGTGGGACTGTGGGAGTGTGGGAGTGTGGGACTGAGTGAGAGAGAATTGAACAGCCGTACAAAACAAAGTTTTGCGTATGAATCCTTGATATGCATTTTTACTATTTTATTGTATAATAATATTCCAATGCTCCACCCCGCAGACTCGTAAAATAAATAATTAAGAAAAACAAGAGAAAACATCACACACCAAACGCATTAGCGATTTTTGTTTTTTAAAAAGCATCTCATTTAGCGCAGTCATTGGGAATTTTACTTCATGAAATCGGTGTTTTCATACTATCATTATCATCCTATTTCCTTCACATTCAACAAGAAAAAAATAAGAAAAACTTTTTTTTTGGGGTTCGTGGTTGGGGATGGGGGCTGAAAATTTGATCGAATGTGTTGTTATCGGCGGGTGGGGCTGCCTAAGGGGCGGCATTTCCCCCGACGTGCCGCTCCGCGGCCGGACTAGAATAACGCAAGTTGGGTTGGGGGGGAAGAGGGGGTAAATTTGGGAAGACTTAATGAGCTCCGGCTCGATAGTTTGCTGGTTTTCTTAAGAGATTTAGTTAGTCGTCTGCAACGCGGCTATGTGCCAAGTTTCAGCTCGATAGGTTGACGGGAAGTCGGTCAATGAGCCGTCCGAAAATTTTGCAACACAGCCAGAAAGAAACACGCGAACAAAATCGAAGTTAATGTAAAGGATTTTAAAAGCAACTCATCATCCCGAGTGTTAGACAAGAGGAAATAACTTTTTTTTAAAAAGCATCAAAATAATTTATATAAATTTTTATTGATATCTATTTATTTATTTCCTGAAATGAAGACGTTCTCTCTAGTTCCAGTAGTAATGGTCAAGTCTTAAGTCTCATGATATATTATATTAGAATCGCTTATGTGTCCACTTAAAGAATTAAAATAAAGCTAGAACTCAATAACACCAAAGTCATAAAAGAAAAAAAAAATAATAATGAAAAGCTTTTGAAATTTACTTTATTATTTCGTGGAACAGATCACTATGTCCATTTTCAAAAGAAAAAAAAAGGAAGAAAAAGGACAGCGGGTAGCAGTAATCGGAGAGTGTATCATTGTTTGGGAGCGTGCAGCAATGTGACTACGAAATCCACGTCTGCGGGAGAGACCGGATGCCTGCCCCGTGGCCAGTCACCGTTCGCGACAGTTTCCTCTTCAGAACACCAGGACCAAGCCATCCCGTGAAGTCACTCATCAGGTCCACAGGAAGCTGCAACAACAACCCCCCACCAACCACCACCACCACCCGAAAAAAACAACAAGTGGAACAACGAAATAAAGTCATCAACGTAAATAAGTGGCTTGCACACAGAGACTTCTTTCACAAACGACGTCTTGGGACTGAACACCAAAGTGATTCATTTCATAAGGAAAGAAAGAAACAAAAAAAAAAAAAACAAAAAAAAACTTTTGAGAACCGAGGAAAATTTTCTCAAAAAAACTTTAGAATTATTTTTTAAAAAAAAAGTCTAAAGAAAAAATAATAGTTATCTTAATTCAAAGGAAAAAGTTATTGTCTGGTTTGAAGAAAAAAAAAAATCCAAAAATAAAAACTTGAAAAAAAAAAAAGCCAACAACAAAAAACAACTAGATTAATAGAAGAAAAGATCATAAGTTGGACATTTCGAGTAAATTTTCAGGAAGGACATCGCCTTGGCAGGTATTGTAAAAATCACTTTTTTTGTGTGTGTGTTTACGGTGAAAGAAATAAGCACGCCTTAATGCATTTTCGGTCGTTCAAGAAATTAAGTTTAAATTACATACTTTTATTTTTTGAACGGGTAAAGGACCTGCCACCGAGAAGTAGGGAAAAAAAATGTGTGTGTGGTTGGGGGGGGGGGGGGGGGGGGGGGGGGGGTTGGGAGGGGGTTGTTTATAAAAAAATGTTTTTTTTTTGACAAAANCCTCCCTGTTTTTTTTTTTTTTTTTTTTTTTTTTTTTGTTAGATGAAAAGACGCGTGAAAAAAATAAAATTGCGCTGCTGCCTATTTTGCCAAGTTATCTGTGTACTTTTGTCACATAGCAAGTAAATACCGTATTTATTGGCGTATAAAACGCCCCGCGTATAATATGCACCTCAATTTAAGAAGGAAATTTCAGGGAAAAAACAACTAAACATTAAATTGGCGTATAATACGTACACATGATTTGCCCCTTATTTTCGGGGAGAAAAAGTGCGTAATTGTTATCTTTAAAATAAAATTTTAACTTATTATATTGCGATATTTTATTGTACTGATTTTCCACTATCGCTATGAATCCTATATCCTACGCCTGAATCAAACGATAATTTTTCTATGTGCTCAGCGACCCCCCCCCCCCCCCCCCCCCACACACAAACACACACATCACCAAAATATAAATATATATATTTTTACCCCCGTGCGTTAAACTAGCCAGATTTTCAGTGGACTTGTCTCCCTTGCACAGAACGTCCATTTTTATTTTCAGTATAAGGGTAGGAATCGTCTTGTAAATAGATATATTGTACCTGACATTCACATGTTCGAAATGTTTTTAACAAATTGTTCTTAGCCAGGGGGTGCCCGATTCCCCCTGGGGAAAGTGGGGGGGGGGAAGACAGAACCACTTTGAACTTATGACATACACAGACACAAAATGCAAACACACCCAATGTACGTGAGAAGCGAAAACTGAACATATGAAACATTATAAAAGGCAACGTGGTCTTTTTCATGAGCAAAAAGGTTATGCTTAGGCGCAGCATTTGCTTAATCGGTTCTTCATACGTGTAACATTTCCTTCATAAGTTAGGCACAGATCAAGCATTTTCCTCAAAGATTATGCATAGGTGTAACATTCGCTTCATATAACATTTGCTTAGTTTTAAATATGTTTTTCTAAAAAAATCTAACCGGAATTTTCAGAAAAAGGGAACATTTTAAAAGAATGATTAATTATAAATTTCCTTTGTCATATAAAGATTTGATAGCATTAAAATTATATTATATTTGTGTATATATATATATTGCTATTAATCAGAGGTGCTATAATCACACCTATGTCAAGGTGGGGTGTGATACCTTCACATCTATGCCAACTTCGGGTGCGATACCTTCAAATCTATGCCAATATGGGGTGCGATACCTTCACATCTATGCCAACTTTGGGTGCGATACCTTCACATCTATGCCAACGTGGGGTGCGATACCCTCACATCCATGCCGACGTGGGGTGCGATACCCTCACATCCATGCCAACGTGGGGTGCGATACCCTCACATCCATGCCAACGTGGGGTGCGATACCCTCCCATCCATGCCAACGCGGGGTGCGATACCCTCACATCCATGCCAACGTGGGGTGCGATACCCTCACATCCATGCCAACGTGGGGTGCGATACCCTCACATCCATGCCAACGTGGGGTGCGATACCCTCACATCTATGCCAACGTGGGGTGCGATACCCTCACATCTATGCCAACGTGGGGTGCGATACCCTCACATCTATGCCAACGTGGGGTGGGGAAAACATTTTGAAATCTGGGGATGTGGCGCTGCAAAAAAAAAAAGTTTAAGAAACTCAGTTTTAAACCATGGAGCCGTACAGTGAATGTTTGAGGACCATCTCGTCTACCCGGCTAGTACAAACACACACAAATGGTTGTGACGTGCAGCCGTGGCCGTAAGGCGATTTGTAGCCAATGATTTATCGCCAGCGCCGGTTGTAATATGGAGGTGATGCCTACCACAAACAGACGCTTCCATTTATTGGTTACATCTGAGATATAATAATACTGCCTACAAAACAGCAACCGAAGATTTTTCAATTAAGATTTTATCTTGTTTTTTTTTTGTTTTTTTTTTTTAAGGGTATGAAAGAACCCACGTTTAAACGAAAGATATCTTTTAAAGAGACGGTTTCATTGGCTGGGTGAAGACAACGTAAACGGCCGGGGGTTGCAGACTTGACGCAGGTGAAAGCGCTTACTTGTACTTATCTGTGTCCACCATTATGGCCCATTAGCGTCCCACAAAGCAGAACTACTTGTACTTATCTGTGTCCACCATTATGGCCCATTAGCGTCCCACAAAGCAGAACTACTTGTACTTATCTGTGTCCACCATTATGGCCCATTAGCGTCCCACAAAGCAGAACTACTTGTACTTATCTGTGTCCACCATTATGGCCCATTAGCGTCCCACAAAGCAGAACTACTTGTACTTATCTGTGTCCACCATTATGGCCCATTAGCGTCCCCCAAAGCAGAACTATCAGATAGCAACCCACAAACAGAGCACGATGGCAACTGTAGCCGTATATTCCAGACATATTTGTCTAGAATTGAGTCGATTTCGCGGCGATGCCAATAACCGAATTAGGAAAACAACAAAGTTATAACCGTCTCTTGATATTCGAGTCTATAAGGCGACTCTTAATAGCCAAGGATCACAATATACGCTAACTGCTGTATCCAACAATCTTTGAGGGATTTTGAAAATGATAAAAAGAAATAATGAGGGAAACATTTTAAATACTTTTTTTCTTTAAATAGATTTTAGGACATCAGAGCTTGTTAAGCTTGCTAAAATAGCGTGGACACAAGCGCTATAAAAGTATTCAATCATCATCATATCTATATATATCGCGCACATGAAGTTATAATAGCAAGTTGATTTCATTATGACAAGAGTAACGCATAACGTAACTCAGGTTTACTCTAGGATGTTAGTTGTGGAGGGTCTGTATGGGGGAAGGTCTGTGTGGGGAGGGTCTGTGCGGGGAGGGTCTGTGTGAGGAGAGTCTGTCTGGGGAGGGTCTGTGTGGGGGAAGGTCTGTATGGGGAGGATCTGTTTGAGGGAGGGTCTGTGTGAGGCGAGTCTGTCTGGGGAGGGTCTGTTTGAGGGAGGGTCTGTGTGAGGAGAGTCTGTCTGGGGTTGGTCTGTGTGCGGATGTCTGTGCGGGGAGGTTCTGTTTGGCGAAGGTCTGTGTGAGGAGGGTTCACAGTGCGCTCATATGCGAAAAATATAGCACATGGAGATCTGTTTTTATAACAGACATTTAAATAATTGATTTAATTTGCCTTTCACAAATAATAAAAAATTCACTCCAAAAGAACCAAACGAACAAAACCTCCAAGTACTTCGCAATTATTGGCTTTGTTATAAGATACGTTACTGAAATACTTTTTTTCCCCCAAGTAACTTCAGTAAATCAAGCTAGTAAAGCGTGGCATTGGGCATCATACATTCATGCAGCTGTCTGATCCTGGCGATGGCACACGAGATTTCTTGTGACATTTTTTTCAGCAAGAATTTAAACACAGGGAAGGAAGAACGCAAATGCATTTTCGCCATTTTATTGACAGATGTGCTAGCAGAGGCGTTTTAAACGGATATAGGAATAAACATGTCAAATTAATTCTATTTAGCAGAAATATTCAAAAGATACGGAAAACAAAATTTATTTATATTAATTAAAAAAAAACAACAACAAAAAAACAACATTATTACTGTTATCGGAAGGCGGTCCCCTACACTCCAAATACGGTTGCGGGAAATCCAATTCCAGCCCTAAAAGTCTGCACACAACTAAATGTTGTAAGCTCTTCTATATTATTAAAAGCTAGTTGGAGGAACTATATTAAGTGTTGCTCTCTTATCTGTGTCTCTGAATTCTATGGCTTCAAACATCGCCGACAGGAACAAATGATGCGATTATCTTGTACTCGCAACACGCTAGTTATAATCCTTTGGCCTCCTTTAATCCCACGGCATGGCAAGCCAATCTGTTAGGACACGATCTGCTGTCAATGTACAAGTCCAGTTTGAGACAGTCACTGATTGGTTATTGTTAGCAGCCTGTCCTTTAATATCAAGCATATCTCCCTCGTCTTTGGCACACAGATCACGCAGGAACATTATTGGTTTACGCACTGTTTTTTGTTCTCATGTTCAGATTTTATAACCTCTATATGGACTGACAAAGGACGAATATGGATGGAGACTACGAAGCAACGACGAACTGTATAGTCCCCTAGTCTATATCATGATCTCTCACTAATAGTGAAAATTTTTAAGAAAAGGACAGGCTGCGCTGGGCGGGACACTTAGAAAAAGGACAAATGACAAAAGAGTGAAGCGCGTTATCAATAAATAACTTTACAGGAAAACGGCTCAAAGGCAGACCTAAGCTTAGATGGATGGATGATGGGGGGGGGGGGAAATGATATTCAGCAGCTGGGAATCCAAGCATAAAAAAGAAAAACATTGTTTAGGTTTGAGTGGAAGGATGTGTTAAGTCAGGCCAAAGTATGAAAAAAAAGCAGACCTAAGCTTAGATGGATGGATGATGGGGGGGGGGGGAATGATATTCAGCAGCTGGGAATCCAAGCATAGAAAAGAAAAGCATTGGTTAGGTCTGAGTGGAAGGATGTGGTGAGGCAGGCCAAAGTATGAAAAAAAATCAACTTTCAAAATATCATCAGTTTAGACAAGACAATAAATAAATAAAAAAATAATTCTTAAAACTGGAAAATTCCAATTTTTTTTTAAAAACTTGAAAATTCCAAATTTTAAAATGTTGAATTCCAATATGTTGGACCATCACAAATGTTTCTTAAAACTTTATGCACACACATTGCAAATGAGATGGTTCTTTGTAAGCCTTTTTTTTTTTTGCTGGCATCCGTTTGTCACAATGTGACGACGTTGTAGACCTCGCACAACGAAATCCCCAAGGGAGTGGGGTGGGGATTATTCTTATTAATATTATAAACTGGTTCCCTACTAGAAAATTATCTCTCTCCAATGGATAACCCAAGAGAACATCATGTGGACGATGGTGCTTGGCCCCAGGGGCGTCGCATGAGTTGCCGGAATGTTTCCTTCTCTTAGATGAGCTGCCGTGCAAGGTTAGCGGTTGAACTCCAGACCGCGAACTTGATGATGACTCAGTTTAGACCACTCTAATTAATTGTAAAATTTGTTCTTGGTCAAAATATGTATTTAAGATTGTGCTGAAACTGAAAATGTGAATATGTACAATGTAATTAAGAACATTTCCATTTATTTGGATCGATAATAGGATTTTATCGCATCTCATCTCATCTTATTTGATCTTATATTGTTTTATTTTATCTTATTATTATTATTTATTTTTTTTTGAATTTTAAAAATATAGGATTATTGATTGATGAATCTGATTTTGCTATACAACAGTTGGAGATGATTTCGCTTGAATCCAAAATTAGATGTGCTGAAGGTGAAAATCGTTTGTTGTCAAAGTGCTGTATCCCACGCATGATATATGAGAGATAACACGTGCTACCGACCATCTCAGGCCATTAAAGGCTTCTTCGCCCCCCTGTAGTTGGATACCTAATAACTAGAATGCTCACACAATTCTGACTTGTGAACATCGACTGAGTTGGGAGGCTAAGTCAAAGCATCGATATTGATCGACGGACTGAGCTTAATTCTCTAAGTCCATGCAAGCCTGAGCCGTGTACTAAGACCAAATTATGACACCGAAACCCCCCCCCCCTTTTCCCCACACACACACACACAGTGCGGTTAAAAACGAAACTTGGCATGGCGCATTCGAAGTAGTTACGGAATTACGCCTTGAACTACGAATGTCTAAACCACTGAGCTATGCTTCTTTGCCCAGTTGATGTACACATCACCGTCTCCTGTTGAAAGTTTCTACTCTAACTCCTAAAGACTTCGGACCCCCCCCCCCCCCCCCCACGAAACAAGCAACTTATGACAAGAGCCATTTAAAAACTCGCCCCCAACGCGCCACGATATTCGTGAGTTCACGCGCACCTGCTCACTTAACACTGGCTCAATCTTTAGATAGTTAACAAGATTTGGATCGGCGGAGAATAGATCTTACTCTCGGGCTGCCGTCACTCTGGACAGGCGCCGGAGACGGTCGAGCACCTTACTAGCCGAGTGCTGCCCGACGCTGACGACTGGTGTGAATGGTGGTGCTCCGAGCATAACCCCGTGTACAGCCTGATTTACGGCACGGCCAACAGATGGGGCAGGCCGGTATCGTTCTTGCCAGGACCATAAAAGAGCAATAGCTCAGCCCACCAAAAAAAAAAAAAAAAAAAAAGAAAATAAAAAAAAAGGTGGTGCTCCGAGCATAACCCCGTGTACAGCCTGATTTACGGCACGGCCAACAGATGGGGCAGGCCGGTATCGTTCTTGCCAGGACCAAAAAAGAGCAATAGCTCAGCCCACCAAAAAAAAAAAAAAAAAAGAAGTGAATGTAATATATTAGATCTATCGCTTGAGATTGTTTACATATCATGACTGAATGAATTAGTAACTTTATGTCATTAATACGTCATTTTTTAGTCATCATGTCAGTACGCACTGTTAGATTAACTTCATCATATGCCCCTCATGAATCGATCTAAGGACTTAACAGACTGGAAATAGACAGACACGTTGTGTATACCAGTCTCCAGTGAGATTCTCTATGAGGAGCGCACCTTGGCGTGAATCCTAAACATTTCAACACTTACAGAAAATATGATATTTATTAATACTAAAAAAAAAAGATACCTGACCATTACATTTGTCTGTCTCAGCCAACCATTTTGTCACTCCCCCCGCCCCCAACCCACCCAACCCCTTGAGAGATGTCTGTTTGAAAAAGAAGCCACAAATTTAAAATATCGATCATGCCGGGGGGGGGGGGGGGGGGTGGGGGTGGAGATGAAAGCTCTGTAACGAGAAAGCTTGAAATATCTTGAAATCCCCTCGTTTTGTTGAGTACTGTACTTAAACTCGGCGCGCGGCCACTCGGCCACAGATCTCCCCCCAGAGTCACATCGGTCGGCGGGCAGTTAAAAAATACGCTGAAGACCAAAATTCAGAAATGAAATGACCACTTTGGAGACCTGTTAACATTGCCATCCCCGGGACGAGAGACTGGCTACCACAGGCCACTGAAAGTTGCCATTTCGCGGTAATCAATTATGAACAGCGGGTTCGCCTGGGTGAGGCGATAGCTGTGTTCCTCGGAGGACGTGGGACTTCTCGGCTGGAACGTAGCTCTGAGGAGGACGAACAAAATATTTTATTAAAAATTAAAAACACAAAGTCATTAAAAAAACAATTTAAATTAGTCATTGTCGACCATTCTCACAGCTTTATTGGAAGCCTTTTGGAGAAGGCAGGCAGGCAGGCAGGCAGGCAGACAGACAGACAGACAGACAGACAGACAGACAGACAGACAGACAGACAGACAGACAGACAGACAGACAGATATATAGACATACAGACATATAGATAGACAGACAGACAGACAGACAGACAGACAGACAGACAGACAGACAGACAGACAGACAGATAGACAGATAGACAGATAGACAGATAGACAGATAGACAGATAGATAGACAGATAGACAGATAGACAGATAGACAGATAGACAGATAGACAGATAGACAGATAGACAGATAGACAGATAGACAGATAGACAGATAGACAGATAGACAGATAGACAGATAGACAGAAGATAGATAGATAGATAGATAGATAGATAGATAGATAGATAGATAGATAGATAGATAGATAGATAGATAGATAGATAGATAGATAGATAGATAGATAGATAGATAGATAGATAGATAGATAGATAGATTAGATTAGTTTTTTTTATCCGTGACTTAAGTAAGTCGCGCTGTGAAGAAATAAACGTTTCAAGTTGTTTTTTGTTTTTTAAACTTAAAAGTTTCTTTAGACCATGGATTGGAAACTTTAGGCTGTTGCACCCATTAAAAAAAATGAGTTGCACTACTTAAACCGGAGCACAATGAAGACAAATATTACATAGAATGAACTTTACCCCCCAAAAAAGTAAATAAAACATTATTACGTCAGACATATATGACGTTACAGTGTACATGCAAATAAGGTCAGGTATTTTTAGCAACAAAATTAAGTACATCCCTTTTAGTTACGCGATTGGACCTATTCTTGTCACGTGCTATGTGAACGAGTGAGGCGGACACACAATCTTAAAAATATGGCATTTGCCCCGCAGACTCAAGACAAGGGAAATTGGCGCGAAGATCTTTGGTTAGGAGAAAATGAGCTGGCGTTTCCTGGACAAGTGGTCACCAGTATCTGACAAACGCATGTCTTTAATTATTCCTGCTTTATTTCCCGGCGTTATTCGATGTATGGGCTATAGTGTAAAGGCAATCTTTAAAATTGGACTTAATATGAGCACCGAGTGGGCTTATACATGTATGTGCCAGATTCGTTAGAGACGTGCCGAAAATACTATGAAATGAATGGAGAGAAGTTTAAATATCACTTCAAACAGTAAGGAGGCAAACAAGATAAGAAACAGAAAAAAGGGGGCAGGTGGGGCAGAGGCGTCATTTCAGATGTTTTCAGATTGGGGAGGGGTGTGGGGTTAAAAGCAAGAAGTAGTCGGCCTGTTAAGTTGTTTCTTACTGGAGGTGCCACAATACATAGCAATTTAGATGACACCTGCACATTCAAAGGGGGGGGGGGCAAATGCTCCACCATGCCTCACCCAAATGACGTCCCCGGGGGGTGGAGGGGGATTTTCACTATTCCATCTACGAATACGGGTGTACAATTCTTACTCTGGTTATGACGTGAGTCGTGGGGTATTAAAGCAAACATTTTTTTTCCTACATCAGATAAATCATTACAGCTTTGGATAATGAAATATTTATTTAAAAAAAAAATTCTCAGATCGCAATAGACTCACGTCTTATGTTACAACATATTCCTGACTTATTATGGCAAGTAAACGGGGAAAATATATTTGGTCAATCAATGTCCTCTATCAACATTTGGAATGACTCGTGGCAGACGCTTGTATCGTCATCTATCGGGCGGGCCGTTGCATTACGTTGGGCGGTCCACAGAATTGAGTTAGGCGGCCTGCCGGCCTTGTGTTTGAGACATAAGTTTTCCCCACAAAATGTCCCGGCGTCATTGGCGAAATAGCAAGTAGCATCAGGCGAAATGACCGTAGAATGGTCTTGAAGCGATTGGCTGAAGATTCGGGCCTGGGGGGTGGAGAAGGGGTGTGGAGGGGGGGAATCCTGTAATGACACAATCAAATGGTCATTTAGCCTGGGGGATGTGCCATGCTCTGTGTACGGCGAAGCTGTAATGACGTCATGAAAATGGATGTGACCTGAGGCTAAAGGTCTTGCACCCCCCCCCCCCCGGTCCCGATTCGCACAGCTATGGACAGTGGCGTGTATGACAGAGCTGGATCCTTGACTAAACAGTGGATTCCCCATAATAACATGTCAAGATAATGGCATTGGCATAATAAAATGACTAAATAATGGTATTGGCATAATGAAATGACTAAATAATGGCATTGGCATAATGAAATGACTAAATAATGGCATTGTCAAAGTAGCATGTCTAGCCTTCATGCCCAGACCAACTTTCAAGGGCTATTTATTCCGAGACAGAGGGTCAACTCCCCAAACAAAGGGAAGGACTGTTTGATACAGGCGATCTTGTTTGTCTGGCTTTTTATTTATTATTCTGTCCGCTTGCTTAGGGAAGGCGACGCGGAGAGTTCTTTGTGTGACGCACTGCCGTACAGTTTGTGATTTGCTGTACGGTTGGCAAGTTGCCGTACAGTTGGTGATCTGCCGTATTGGGTGTGATCTGCCGTACAGTTGGTGATCTGCCGTACAGTTGGCGATCTACCTTATCATTTGCGATCTGCTTTACTGTTCACGATCTGGCGTACTGTTTACGATCTGCCGTACTGTTCACGATCTGCCGTACTGTTTACGATCTGCCGTACTGTTTACGATCTGCCGTACTGTTTACGATCTGCCGTACTGTTTACGATCTGCCGTACTGTTTACGATCTGCCGTACTGTTTACGATCTGCCGTACTGTTTACGATCTGCCGTACATTTTGCGATGCATCAGTTCTTGCTCCAATGTTGGTCTCTTCAGCACTCTGTTTTCTGTGCCTGTCGCAGCGGGGTTTGCTATCGAAGTCTTAATGAATACATATACGATATTAATGTATTGCATGTATAACGTTTAAAAATAAATAAATAAATAAATAAATTGGGTAATGGATTGTGGGATGATTCTTACTAAGCCTTTACATTGGAAAGTTTGGGAAACTCCGATCGCAATCTTCAGGATATACAATGATTTCACATAAAATATCATAGGCGAACCGGCAACCGCTGGTTGCCTGAAGATAATTCCATATCCGGTAGATCGAACAATAAAATTAGATTGAGGGGACGGTCAAAGAAAAAGGGGGGGGGGGATAATATTTGGTGTGGGGCATTGAAACTTTTCAGTGACTAGATATGGCATGAGTCAAAAAATAATGCGGGCAGCACTGTTAAAATTCAATCGACAGACACGATTTGTCCTAATAAATTTTTTGGAGCGATTTCAATTTCGATTATATTATCAGTAGCTGGTCTCGGATACAGCATTTGTTACACGCTGCACGAGTTGACGCTCAAAACAAAAAATAAGATCAAGTTTAAATTGAGTTCTTCAATTCTAGCCTCTAATTGTTTTTTTTTTGTTTTTTTGGGGGGATCTAGATCGCGTATCACGTGACTGATTGGACACGGTTTTCAGTTGCATCTGTCTTTGTGTCGTTTAATCTTATCTGTCTATCCAAAAAATTTTTGGAACCAATATCCGACATAACGAAACAGTAACAAGATTTGGTGAATATTGTATGGTTGGCTTTATTTTTTTGTTGTTTTTTTTAAAATTCTTCTTCATTTTTTTTTTCTTTTAGGGGTGAGGGTTCTTAAGCTGGTCGGTATTTTGGAGTAGAAATAATAATTTAAGAATCCCCCCAATCCCCACCCCCCGCCCCCATTTTTTAAAATTATAATTGTTCCGTATGTCGTGGGTATTCACTTTAAAAATATTTGTTGTTGTTGTTATCGGGGAAATTAGTTAGCATAAGGTTAAAAAAATGTGTCTCCTATAATTTAAATAATTTACATGTTAAAACCAGGCTAACTTATATTTCTTTCAAGTCCTCGACAGACCAAACTTCAATGCTCGCCCAGATGGCGCTACCAATTCCCAAATAAATTATTAAAAAAAAAAAAAAAAACGGTTACACTGTTTGCTTAGGAAATGAAAACGAGAGTGTCGAATGGAAGAAAGAAAAAAAGAAAATGACAAACGACAACATCGTTTAGCCCGAAGCCTAATCTTTGCCAGTCCCTTTGATCCTGCTGACATCTTAAAACACTGTTCAAATAGTCGAAATTCATCAGCGCAGCGAAAAAATAAAAATAAAAATTTTGTAATTTTTTTTTTCCTCTTCAAAAATGTTCCAAACCATCACTCACGCATAATATGTAGCGTGACGGCACAAAATAAGTGAATGCCTCGCGGTGTCCAATACCAGCCATCACGCGATAGGTCGCTTATCATGTCTGATTTCGGCAACGTCGCAGAGTCAGTACGCTGGAATAATAATTCGCATTGTTATGTGGGTGGAATTTGATTATTTCCATTGATGTGTTTCTGTTTTAGAATGGCGTAGTTTAGACTTAGTTTAAGTCAACGCAGGGCCGTATCGGCAGAGTAAAATCTTAAGAATACATTATAGTATCTTAGGATTCTTTTTCATTTCTTTTTTTTTCTTTTTTTCTTCTTTTCCTAGAGCAATTTATCTGTGACTTCTTGTGTTAGAGTTGATTGATCAGCACGTGCAGCGGTGGTACTAGCCATGTTAAAGAACATTGACTAGGCTCATTATTTCCCCCTCTTACCTTCTCCCGTGGTTAAATTGCTCAGCTCAGCGGAATTGAGCTGGTAGCCAATGCACTAGCCGGGGTCATCAGAGAGTAATCTCAAGGCCCTCCACCAGGGTATGCGCGTTAGTGAGTACAGTGGTGGAATTCGGCCGACTGACCCATTATTTTGTTTTAGAAACCATGGTTAGAAATGGCAAATGTTGTCGGAGATCTCTTTTAGGCGGGGCGCCTCTCGCATTAGCCAAATGTGAAAATGACGAATTTACCTTCCTTATTTCCTTATAACCATTTATCTCTCTTAAAAACAAAATTTAGTTTTTCCGTACATATTTTATTGTTATTATTTAAGTATTAACTGTATGAAACAATCAACTGCCTTGGGGCAAGATGGTTTTTTATCCTTAAAATTGTATTTAGGGCAAAAAACTGGTTGTTAAATTATATAACAGAAAAATCAACTTTTTTTTTCGCGTACTTTCTGTTGTTTAACATACTTTAAAAAATAGTATTTCTGTTCTCTCTTAATTAAAAAAATAAAAATAAAGCATACTTTTGGTATTATATTATCCAGTACTGACTAAATGGTCACCGGGAAATTTGTACGAAAGAATTTGCTTCGAAGGAAAATTGTTCGACGGAGGTTGATTCAAAATCAGTATTTTATTCAAATCTATATTTCCTACAAAGTCTGGAATACATTATAAACCGTAATTCTTTAAAAGTAAGTATTTCATTCAGTGTCATCACTATGGGACACAGTTAACCACATTCAAACAGGATCTTATGATGAGACGCAGTTTTAACAAAAAATTAGCCGACGGCGAAGGAACCTCCAAGATGACGTCAACGACCTTACACTTTACTGCAGCTCTATTCCATGCATTAAATAGAATGTACTGAATTCTAAACGTACGCCTCTGGGCTTTGTTAAGCCCTCTCTGGCGACCCCCCCTATTTTATTATTCATTACGGATTAGCCTCATGTGGCTATTTGGGGGAACACATGGGTTTAAATGTGAAGAAATTTAAGCAATTCTTCGAACCTTATTTAAACGAAAAAAGAAGGAAAAAAAAGAAAACAAAGATTTTCTGTGCTCCTTTTCCCGCTAGCGCCCTTTAATGACATTCTGCAGGGCCAGTGAACCTGCTTTACAACCTATATCAAGTTGAAGCCAGGATAGCTGTATGAAAATAAAATCCGTGTTGTCGGAATTTTAAGGTATCCCCCCCCCCCTTTTCCCAAAAAAAATAAAAAAATTGCACGATATGTTTGTGTTTAAAATGTGATCACCTCTAATTAACATTAACTGATGTCGATGTGTAATGGTATTCTGGATGTAGTTGTATCCTGCTTCACTACCCAAAGGCCCTAAGTTTTATAGTTTACCAAAGATATCGCTCAGCACAATTCGAACCGGATTATAAAAGTCCGGTGATTATGTTAAAGCTATTTCTGTTGTCCAATCGTCGTTATTTCTGTCAGCCAATTATTGTTATGACTATTGCTGCCAGCCAATCATCGTTATAACTATTGCTGCCAGACAATCACAGTTAAACTATTTCTGCCAGCCAATCACCGTTATAACTATTGCTGCCAGCCAATCATCGTTATAACTATTGCTGCCAGCCAATCATCGTTATAACTATTGCTGCCAGCCAATCATCGTTATAACTATTGCTGCCAGCCAATCATCGTTATAACTATTTCTGCCAGCCAATCATCGTTATAACTATTTCTGCCAGCCAATCATCGTTATAACTATTGCTGCCAGCCAATCATCGTTATAACTATTGCTGCCAGCCAATCATCGTTATAACTATTGTTGCCAGCCAATCATCGTTATAACTATTGCTACCAGCCAATCATCGTTATAGATATTGCTGCCAGCCAATCATCGTTATAACTATTTCTGCCAGCCAATCATCGTTATAACTATTGCTGCCAGCCAATCATCGTTATAACTATTGCTGCCAGCCAATCATCGTTATAACTATTGCTGCCAGCCAATCACCGTTATAACTATTTCTGCCAGCCAATCACCGTTATAACTATTGCTGCCAGCCAATGACCGTTATAAATATTGCTGCCAGCCAATCACCGTTATAACTATTGCTATCAGCCAATCATCGTTATAACTATTTCTGCCAGCCAATCACCGTTATAACTATTGCTGCCAGCCAATCATCGTTATAACTAGTGCTGCCAGCCAATCATCGTTATAACTATTGCTACCAGCCAATCATTGTTATAACTATTGCTGCCAGCCAATCACCGTTATAACTATTGCTACCAGCCAATCATCGTTATAACTATTGCTACCAGCCAATCATCGTTATAACTATTGCTGCCAGCCAATCATCATGACTATGGATACCATGCAATCATCATTATATCTATTGATGCCAGCCAATCATCTTTATAATTATTTCATTAGAACTATTTTTTGTCAGATTTCAAATTGTGTATGCGTAATATTATTTCCTATCACCGTTGTTCATTATACCCCCACTTCCAACCAGAAGCTCCTGAATTATTATTTATTACTAAATACACAAAACTTGTCATTTCCGTCATAATTTCATGTTGAAAAAAACAAAAACACACACTCTGAAGAACGAAAGCGTGTAGCTGAAACAATATATTACAGTAAAACTTGCAATTGCCGTATATTTATAACGTTTGTACATCCTTATCTATAAGTTTTACAACTTTGCTCCGGAGTTAGCCTTGTATAGACATAATTGCGCCTTCTGTTTTATGACGGAAACAATAGAGCAAATCTAAATCGTCTCATGTTATTCAAAAGTTCAACACTGTGACAAGTAAGAAATGATAAAACTAATAATAATTGCTATATCTGTCCACTCAACTTGGGATACAGCTTGCATTCCTCATATAATTTACGCGACTGAACCTTTGAGTCTTTTAATTTTTAAATTAACATTAATTTTAAAAAAAAAATCTATCTTTTAAAGGAATTTTTTAAAGAGAAATGTTCTTGTCGAAACCTTTATTTCCGTCAACGGTTCAGTTGCTCTTGAGATCTGTCTCATTCCCGCGTCCACTCAAACCGAGCACGGTGACAGATTATTATGGGGAAGAAAGTGACTCATTGTCAAGACGTGACAGTCACAGCTGTCCACTTGTGACAGACGTGGACGGTCGCTGGTGTATTAAAAAAGAGAACCCCCCTTCACCCCCCCCCCCCTTTACGTCTCTCACGCGGGGGATCCACTGCCTTAAAAAAAGGAAATGTTGATCACGCTGACACCTTATCTTGGAACATAATGTTCGTTGAAACAGGGGAGCAGTTTTTTATGCAAGGTCCCTGAAGTTTTTGTTGGTGTTAACCATTGGGGGGGGGGGGGGAAAGGGGGGGGGGGGGCTAGCTAAGAGACCACCCTGTAGGAAAGATTAAGTCTTTGATGTATTTTGGTAAAGTGTAGGATTATGTTGGAATTCATCATAGTTCGTTGTTTTGACGACATAAACGTCGGGCAAAAGTTACACATCACGATAAATTTATTATTCTATTATATTTAATAAAGGAATTTGCATTTGTTCAGTGGTTTAAACAACATGACGTCATTGGACTTAATTTAAAAATCGATGAATCCTCAATTCAGGCCATTTTCTTATTTGATCATCTCATTTTATCTGAGCGGCTAATTGGCTGAAGAAATCGTTTTTTTTTTTTTTTGTTGTTGTTGTTTTTTGTCGTTTCATTAAATAAAGTACGAGCAATGTTATCTCGTAGATCTTGTAGCATTTTTATTATTCCTTTAATTTCTTTATGATCATTAGATTTATAAATCGAATATTCCGCTATCTGGAGCACATTAAAGTCATCTTTGAAAAAAAAATTGGAACCATGAATCTTGATATGCAATAAAAAGAAAAATGAAATGAGCTGTTTGATAAAGTACAAATGAAAACAGTGAAAAATTGATTTCTTTTTTCAATAAACTAAAAAAGTTTTTAAAAATAATTGGTAAGGGGTCGTTCGTAAATTACGTCACGCAAAAAATGACCTTTCAATACCCCCCCTTTTTAAAATAAAAAAAAGGACATCACAAATTTTTGACCCCTCCCCCCCTGTAACAAAGTGGTAGACACTATTGGAGACCCAGTAGCTACCCTTTAATACACTCCATTAGACAAAGTTACAATATTTTATTAGGATGATCACGCGTCACATCCTATCTTATCCCGCGATGTTTTATTGTTTTGAAGTTATTTTGGGAGACTTAATCTGGTGACTATATTTCCTTTCGTTTTTTTTTTAAAAATTGTGTTTATTCAAATGGAATGGCATATTTATATCCACGATGATGGATGTTAAAATAAGGAATAAACTTTGCGTATTTAATGAACTTGAAAAAAAAAAAAGAAGTTAAAATAAAGACTTCTAACGGTTCTCACAAGGTCAGGGAATCATTTTAAAAAAATCATTTTAAAACGATTTTTATTGACAAGAAATCAAGTTCCCTTTTTTTTTTTACGCGATCAGGACATTGTTTCTTCTAACCAATGGAACAGTAGTTGTATTGAATTCTAATAGGGGAATGCGTTATTGGAAGGACGAAAGGACAAGGAAAACCCACAAGTGTCTCTCCCAACACCATTTATCGTTTGTGGGGTGGTGGGTGGGGGTGAGGGGGTTGTGCTATGATTTAAGAAGTCAAATATAAATATTTTTTGATTTGAAACTCGAAGTATGTTGAAGTGTGATGATGACATTTCACAAGTATTGTTGAATCTTATTGATAGTTACCTGTGTACTCTAGACTCGGAAGGTCCAACACCAGTTCAACTCTGATACTTTTAAGGATCCCCAGAGTTTTATAAGCACGTTGATTCACGTTTGGTACACGTAAGTCGGATGGAATCTCAAAAAATATTTTTTTTTTAAATTGGGGACTTTTTTTTAATGAGAGTTATTCGGTGAGCATTATGGGTAGGTATCATTCCGACAGACAGCTGGTGTCCATATTTAAAAGACACACAAAACATTCATGGCCCCTCCAGGCCGTATCGCCGGGAGCACTTTCGGGACGGTGCAATGGAGTGAGCACATCAGCGCTAATGACCCTGCGGCACCAGCCACACGCGCCACGAGGGACAACAACACCATGGCGGCACATCGAGTCATGATCGCACTTATTAATTGTCTTTTTCAGCCGCGACGTCACGCCCCCCCCCCCCCCGTGCCCTCTCGCGGCACACCAGAAGCCTGGCCATATGCCATAATTAGGCTGCGAGCACGGAATGGGGTCGGACATTAGTCTACGGCGAGAGTCATTAAAATATTATGTGCTCATTGATTGAATGGAATGTATGTGCCAGACGCTGACCTCGTTGTCCTATAGGTACACGCCCCGGTGAACTCCCGGAGACTGGGAGTCGGTAGAGATGCCTGCCCTCCTCTGATTGCAATGCGGCTCATCAAGAGTAGAAAAGAACACATTCCTAGAAAAGTTTTTCAAATCTTCTCGACTTGTTTGATGAGGAGTCTAAACCATTTCTGTGTAGCCCTAGCTTCAATGAGTCGAAACCATTTTTTTACGTTTCTCTAGCTCTCAGGAGTCTAAACTGGTTTGGTGTGTCTCTAGCTTCAAGGAGTTTAAACTATTTTGGTGTGGCTCTTGCCCCATGGAGTCTAAACCATTTTGACGTGGTTTCAGCTCCATGGAGTCTTAATTTTTTGGCGTTACTCTAGCTACAATGAGTCTAAACCGATTTTACGTGTCTTTAGCTCCAATGAGTTTAAACCATTTTTGAATTGCTCTAAAGCGTTTTGTTCTGGCTCTAGCTCCAAGGAGTCTAAACCATTTCGGCGTGGCTCTAGCTCTAAGGAGTCTAAACCATTTCGCATGGCTCTAGCTCTGAAGAGTCTAAACCATTTTTATGTGTTTCTAGCTGAAAGCTAAATCTGATTTCCTTTATGACCGTTACGCGAGCACATTTTAAACATAAACTACATTTACTTAGAGGAACATGCAAATCTCAAGTCGGTATAATATTGTTTGGGTCTAGTTCGTTGGGTATGGGAGTATGAATCGCAAGTTATTTATTTGTTTCGACATATTACAAAAATAATGAAAATACACAATTATCCTTGTAAAAATGGCACTAACACGATCAGATGGCGTTGATTTCACGAAATAAAATTCACCGATAAATGCGCTCAATGAGATTCTTCAGGGTCAGAAAGTGTCAACGGAGACATCCATGTTATTCCCATAATGTGATAAAGGTGTCAACGGTGCTTGAACATACCTTGTTTTACTAGTTCATTCAGATAGCTTGAGCGCAGTCGTTCAATTATTATTCTCAACGGTGCAGGAGCGAATAAGTGAGCCAGCCCTTTAAAAATTAAAAAGAAAAATATCTTCGTTTTTGTTTGTGTGTGGCAACATTTTCGGAAGGCTAACTGACCCACTTTCCGTCATCCTATTGAGCTCAAACTTGACACATAGACTCGTTGCCGACGGCAACACACTCCTATCAAATTCAGCCCCCCCCCCCCCCCATCACTAACCTCCTAAAATCAGTTTTTCATGTTGTTAAAAAAGGTTGAAAAAAGGGTGGGGGGAGGGTTTCGATGGCTGTTAATGATTTGTTCAATGGTTGTGTGTTTTGGTGCGGAGATTAATTGTGTAGCTGTTACTCTGTGCTTTGTATTTGTGACATGTTTGGGTTTAAAAAAAAAATCTTTTAGTCTGTTAGTTTTCTCATGCAATAAGTTTGATAAAAACCATTCCAATACCAAAAAAAAACAATCAGTTGCTACAATCACATCAATGATAAATCACGGACAGTTGCATACATTCAAACCAATATGCGGATAAAAGGGTCATGCGAACAACTTTGTTTTTAAGGGTTGTTTGATTATCATTTGAACCAGAAATAAAAATAATAATTCTCAAAAAAACGAGTTTGTAAGCTCATTTGGTTTAATCAACAGAAGACAGCAACCAATGCATTACTCGGTATTGCTAGACCAGGTTTGAAATTAGTATTTTAGAGCCCCCTCAAAAAAACAACAACACAGGAACACTATCCTAAGCATCGCATATAGTGTAGTCTGATTGAAAGTGCCCGTTCTCTTGAGACAGAAGCCGCTCTCGGCGGCACTAACATCTCGCGTGGGGTAGGCGCGTGCAGCGATGATGTCATGAGCAGGACCATTTAATTAGCTTGTAGCAGACCAGGGGATTGTGGGGGTACTTTACAACAGGTCCCCGAAATGATAGAGATGTTGTACATCTCCGTTGAAAAGTTAAAAAAAAAAGTTTTTTTAGGTTCTATGGCAAAAAACACAGTTGATTTGAATGTGAAATTGATGCAACTAATAGTGAAATGTCCCATACTAGATGCAGAGATCTTAAATTTGCTTCAGTCCAAACCTAAATTCCTTATATAATGTTCAAAGCAACACCACCCCCCCCCCTCCCCCACGCGAAGTTCATGAAAATAAAAAAAAACAACAAATTCTATGTCGAGCTAATACAAACTAATTTCGAAATGTATTATAAATTTGCTTCAGTCCAAACCTAAATTCCTTATATAATGTTCAAAGCAACACCACCCCCCCCCTCCCCCACGCGAAGTTCATGAAAATAAAAAAAAACAACAAATTCTATGTCGAGCTAATACAAACTAATTTCGAAATGTATTTATTCATGAGACGATGAATCGTGAGTCATAATGTCAATCTTGTTTGTCCTTCACTATATCATGCCATCTAATTAAAAACAAAACAACAACATTCCCCCAAATGCTATCGTCTTGACAGCTGTTACTTATTTTTCAATTGTCTCCTCCACCGACCCCCAACCTTTCATTGTCTGAATAATTACCAGTGTAGTCAAGCTGTGACGTCTGGTGTATCTGTATATACATTTTTTTTTCACTTTTAAAAGTTACACAGGAGAAGGAAAAAAAAACAGGGTTTACAATGTTAATATTTTATAACGAGCAAGTATTCACATCCTAATTATTTCCATTTAGCCCTTTCCAAGCCAGATACGCGTTCAGTTCTTTGAAGATCAGTGGGATTTCCAAGCCCTTGTCGGACGATTCTCGTTCTAAATGTAACAAGTATCGTAGAGTGTCGGCTCGCTCTAAATGACCCCCCCCCCCCTGGGGCTGGGCCCCTTTACAAAAAAAAAAAAAAAAAAAAAAAAATCTTTGAAGATCAGTGGGATTTCCAAGCCCTTGGCGGACGATTCTCGTTCTAAATGTAACAAGTATCGTAGAGTGTCGGCTCGCTCTAAATGCCCCCCCCCCCCGGGGGCAGTGCCACATCACAAAAAAAAAACAAAAAAAAAAAATCTGCATTTGGCTGAAAACGTCACCCCCTCAACAAATAGAAAAAGTGACGCCTGGGGCGGACCACCCACTTTACACCCCTTTCCCACCCCAGAGAGACTTGGTTTTGTGGCATGTTATTTTTTTTTGGTGTTGTTTGTTTTGTTAACCTTATGATAACGATACACGAAAAAGTTGTATATGAAGATGTCTATTGTGTTGCATCCTCAGGATAGCTGTCCACCAGTGTGGTAAACTCATGGTGGTCCCCCCACCTCTAATTTTCCCCGAGATTTCTCTACTAATCTCCTCCAAGCATGTCTGCTTTGGTATAGCCCATACTTCCGTACTGACCTCTTCCAAGCATGTCTGCTTTGGTATAGCCCATAATTCCGTACTGACCTCTTCCAAGCATGTCTGCTTTGGTGTAGCCCAAACTTCCCCACTAACATCCTTAATGCCTGCCTGCTCCGGTACAACCCTGTCCAGATAAGTTCGATCTATTATGAAACCGACCCGATCTCGATCAACATCGGAGGGTGCCAACCTCTGAGGGCCCGCCCCCTGCAACGCCGTGGTGACGTTTCTCTGTTTACATACCGGGGAGTACCAGGGCAATTACCCCAATAATATGTCCTTGGTAGGTTCATCGTGTAATGATGACATTGGCCTCGTTCTAGATATTTGGCCGGTATTGAGTATAAGTATCGTACCGTGCTGGAACTTCTTCAGTGGCTTTTTTTTAATGTTACCACCCCTGGAGCTTGGTTAAGAGGATTGGGCACCTGGAGAATTCGTGAGCATGTTTGAGAGAGATAGAGAGAGGGCTAGAGACGGAGAAGCAGGGAGAGAAGCGAGAGAAAAGAAAGAGAAAAAAGATAGAAAAGAGAGGAGAGAGAGAGAGAGAGAGGGAGAGAAAGAGAAAGAGAGAGAAAAAGAGAAGATGAGGTAAAAAAGAGAGATGGAGAGAAGAGAGAGATATTGAGAGAGAAAAGAGAAAGAGAGAGGAGACAAGAGAGAGAGAGAGAGGAGAGAGAAAAGTGAGAGAGAGAACAAAGAAAGAGGGGAGAGAGAAAAGAAAGAGTGAGGGGAGAGACAAGAGAGAGAGAAACGAGTAGAGAGAAATGAGATATAAAGTGGAGAGAGAAAAGAGATAGAGAGGTAGGGGAGAGAGAGAGAGAGAGAGAGAGAGAGAGAGAGAGAGAGGCTACTAGTGAAAAAAAGGCTAACAAGTCAATGCACACATATAATGGTTTCCGAATGCCTTCACCGTTTAGATTCTTTTACAATCATTCGGGATGTACAACAATTACAATAGGACAGAGGAATTAATAGTGGCTCAAGGCAAACATTTTTTAACCTACTGGCGCGAGCAATGGAGATTCTTAGAGCTGTACATCAAGGTTCTTGTTTATTGAAAGATTGTACACAATTTTTACCTTTTAAATAGACATTTGATAAAACATTTTAAAGAGCTCAAAACAGTTGTTAGTTTAATGGACATCTTATTTATATTTTGTTCGAATTTTTTTCTATATGTTAAGAGCGACATTTTCTGGCATATGCAGAGTTTATTTTGTTGGAGGAGTGACTAAAATCTGCGCCACCGAATGAATCTCAAGGCACCCCTTGGCTGCTGCACAAAGCTAGCTACGTCAGTAGCTAAAATCTTATGGCGCCCCGTGGCTGCAATACAAACCTAGCTACTCCACCGACCAAATCTTATGGCACCCCGTGGTTGCAATACAAACCTAGTTACTCACCGACGAAACTCACCTCAACTCTTAAAGAATCCACCTTTTTTGGTTGAAATTTTAACGTATAATATATAACAGGGGTTGGGAACCTTTTTGTCCGAGAGAGCCATTGACACCACATATTTTGAAAAGTAATTCTGTGAGAGCCATACATTATGTTTAAAACTAAAAATTCAAGTACAATGTGTCAATTTTGCTGAATTTCAACACTCAAAATGCAATAATCATGTCTCTGAATTATTTTTAATAACATTGTTCTGCTGTTGCTAATCAATAATGAGCAGTTCTTACAATTGATGGGGCGGTTTTTAAAAAATAATCGAACATTTGTCTGCGAGCCAGATGCAGCAATCAATAGAGCCACATCTGGCTCGCGAGCCATAGGTTCCCGACCCCTAGACTGTTTCCTCATTGTATTTGGTGTTAAAAAAAATATCACTTATACCCTTTACGACCATGATGGAAAAAGACGGCTTGAAATGGAATTGTATATCATAATAATATCTAACTGTTACTGTTACTAGCAAATGTAATCGTACAGTAATATCTAACTTTTACTGTTACTAGCCAGGCACGCGCAACAAATTAACGCAAATGGCTTCTTTTTTGGACTGCCTTATAACCCTATGACGTCATTTCGAGACGTTTAACCCAGTCGGCGCTACGTAAAATGAATTTATAAGAATCATCCTAAGTTGTGAAAGGCGAGACCCTCCAGGGAACAAATTCTCTCGAGAAACTATACATTTAAAAGGGGGGGGGGGATAATGAACGAAACTATCATTTAACACACGTCCGCTGGCTTTTTTTTTTTGAGTTAAGCACGTTTAGGAAACAGAAAAATAAAAAGGAAAAGAAAAGCTGGATGAGAACGGAGACTGTGAGATTAATTTACAAAAAAATTTTTTTTTTCAAATATAATTTGTTGACTCATGTTTAAAAGATGGCTCGCAAAATTATTAGAAGTGGTTCGTGGTGTTGATTTGGGACACTTCTAATTTAAAACGTCTTAAAGTATCGCTCAATTTGAGACTGTCTTCGATGTTGCTCTCTTTTGTGATGTGGGAGACGGTTCAGATTTGCGTTCAATTTCCTGTCGCCACAGTCGAACGATTTTGACATAATCTCACGACCAGCGGAAGAAGTTTCTGAAGCTTGAGACTGTCTTTGAAGAAGACAGAGAATTTTGAGACCTTAAAAAAAACATTTTAAACCGCCAACTCAGACACTATTGATAATACTTATCTGAAAACAGTTTAAAAAAGGAACCGCCCTGTGCCTTGTTATCGTGGAAAGCAAAGTTAATTTATCATCAATCTCGATGTGGCAAAAATCTGCTGCTAATATTGGCGAGTCTGGGAATAGTATTTTAAAATATTTTCACTTAAAAAAATATCCAGTGAAAGAGCCACAAAGTCAATATTGAGCAATGTTGACAAAAAAATATTCCAATTTAAAAAAAATATCTGGCAGGTAAATATTGAGCAATGTTCCCGCCAAGCTGCGGCTTTTCGTCGTGAGCTTTAAAGGAAATTACCAAAGTTCGAATCTCTTAATTTAAAACTCATAATTTATATTGAGACCATAGGTATAATTTCTAGGCTGATAGTTTAAGAATCCAAATCAGTGTTAAACAATTTGTTTATGGTAGGGTAATCACTAGCATTGTGTGGATACTTTTGTGTGTGCATGTGTGTGTGAGTATGTGTGCATGTGTGTGTGTAGGGGGCAGTTGACCTCTATCGTTATTTTAATAGAAATAAATGTAAGGATATCTTGAAATAAAGCTGTAGAATTCGACCCACCCGTCCTCGTCTGATGGTTCAGACGTGTCCCACTTGTATCAGGCGATGTGCTTAAAATATGAGGTGTTTGGTCGAAAAAAATGTGATACGCCCCTATATTGTGAGAACCGCTGCAACATGACGTAGTCTGTAAATGTCAAGGGTATTCTTTTTATATTTCTATATCTCTTAAGCGCACACAATCATCAATTATTAATATCCCCATGTTTCAGAAAAATGTCCACTTTATTATCCTCCATTTGCAAGCCTCAATTTGGTCGAGAGCAACACAAGGACCAAGACTTGATTGGAGGGGTTTATTTTAGAGGGGAGGGGATCATTGGCGTCCCCGCTATAAATATAAAAAAAAAGATTATAATCTTGAGCAAGGAAAATGCGATCAAATAGGGTGGACAGGGTGTAGTAATGACTACTGGGAAACGGTGGTGTGGCTAGATTTAGTGCGCCCTGGGGGGGGGGGGTATTCCCCTCACCCCTTTCATCTCGGTTATCTAAAAATGCCACCGCTCTACATAAAGAAAAGAGTTACGTCTGTGTATTTATCGGAAATTAAAACGGACCTGCTTGGCAGAGCTGGATGGCCGTTCTGGCTGGTCAAGCTCGGTGGCCGAGCTGGATGGCCAAGCTGAGTGGCCGAGCTGGATGGCCGTTCTGGGTGGCCGAACGGTCTAAACTGATTCAATCCTCAAGCTTATGGACTGGGGCTCGGCTCATCCCCTAGAAAAAGCTGCGACAAGCAAAAACAATCCAAGCACCCCCTGTTGGATGGGACTCGTTAACCTTGGATGGAAACTCACCAAAGAGAAGGCAAACTCTTAAATCAAACCCAGGGATGGAGTATGACACTGGCGCAATGAAAATTCCGACATATCCTGCAGAACGCATAAAAAAACACAGTTAAACATCCACACAAACATACTGCTGGTAGTCTACTACATAGTTGGCCATTTACCAGTCGTTTAGGCCATGTCTTGCCATTGGAACGAATGGTCAAGGACAGTGAGGCTGAGGAGTCAAACAGCTCTCTCTAACTGTCAACAAAAATACAGCTCAAGACAAGGCTACCACTCAAGTCAAAGCCTTGGTCATCTTCGCATGCGAAGAACGAGCAGTGATAATATAGAAAATGAAATATAAAATGCTAAAATATTTTTTTTTTTAGTTTTGGCTTAGATTTGTTTCCGGTAAGTAAATTAGAGTCATTGCCAGATACGAGCTCATCAAAAACCCCAAGGCCTGTGCCTCTTCTTGTTTGCTCATTGAGTCCTTTCACCATCGTCGTGTGGTGGTCTGCCATGAAACGTGTACGTTACTATCATCGGATATGATGATTAAACCAGCGATTGTTTTCTTTTTAAGAGCCGATTTTACCGATACAGTGGATTGAGTAGGTGAATAGGAATGTGTCTTGTGAACGCCCCACTGCACTATTTACGAAATTTAATGTTAATTTTGGGGTCGGTGGTAGTTTAAAAAAAAAATAGACTTGAAATTCTCTTCATGGCAAAAACTCAACTTTTTGTTTTAACTGAGACAATCAGAGATTTTTATTATATTTGTAAAAAAAAAGGAGGAATTCTTTATTATCTTGATATAAAGCCTTGGCTACAGTCCTCAAACATTTTTTTCAGCACCACATCTGGAAACCATGAACAGCTGGAACGTAACAGTCTTGATGCTTGCGGGCACCGCGCTGGTGTCAGCATGGGGGTCGAGTATAAGCTCGGGGCCGGCCACGCCCATGGAGAGGGCCTTCGAGGACGTCAGGAGTCAGCACAGGGACGCGTCACTGCACAACGTGCTGAGCAGGGGCACCCGGAGCGCCAATGGCGGCGTGGTGAGTCGTTGCTGTTGTGTACTTTAAGTCGTCCTCTGGCATCTTCAACCAGGGTGTGTAGTGTGTTTGTACTTCAAGTCACCTTCTACAATCTATACCCAATGTGTTGCGAGTGTGTGTCAAGTCAAGTGAAGATTCAGGGGTTTCACAGAGATGTGTTTGACTTGCAGGGGGGAAAAACGTTTTAATAATATCTTAAATATTGCATTTACCCATTTGAGAATGCCTTTTTTTTCTCTCCCTTTTCACCTGTTGAAAATTTATATGCACACAGTAGGGGACCTCAGTGACATTGTAAATATTGGTGTCGTTGGCGTGTACAACACTCATATGTCAGGGAGGCACCAGTTATAGTTCTAGATATCGAAAAAATGAGATTTTTTTGTATCCTGTATTTAGGGGAGAACGCAAGTCCCTCTTCATGCCCCCGGGGTGTGTAGGGGTGGGGGTGTATACCAATTTAAATTGCTGAAATAACCTATTTCCTCTCTATCTAACCCTCCCCACCCCCGATGAAATCCGTGGATGAGACATAGATTCGCTCGTTCTTTCTATCCGACGCTGTAATGGACTTATAAGAATACAAAAGTTTATCTTAGCTGAAAAAAAAAAAATTAAAAAATTAAGCTCTGTATTAACTTAAATGAATCTTGGACCATAAGCTCGTGGACCGTCGTCTCGAAAGAAGGTGACTTTCGATAATAAGTGAATTTTTTTTTTTTAAAGATAAAATTCGTAAGCGATAAATACAAAGAGGCCGTCCATTTTATAGCCCTGCTCTGATTTTTCTTTAATTAGAGGGCAGACGGTGGGGCCGAGAAAGTGGGGGGGAGGGGGAGGGAGACCGGACTGGTTTTATTCTGAGTGCCAGACGTCAGACGTAACTATTTTGGAAGGCGCCCGTGGAAGGAACTAAAGCTAATTTGAAGGGGACCACAACTCTTGCTGCTCGGCTGTACGATGTCCTTAGAGTTGTAGGCACTGGTCAGTGGCGGGAAAAATAAGTCTATCAAAGGGGATCCCAGAATTTGAAAAAACAAAATTAAGATTAAAACAATATGGAAATGGGGGACGGGGGGGGGGGTGTGGCTTTATGGTCTTGAGACAATTTTTGTTCCATAGCAAACCAGCGGTTCTCAAGATTGTGTTGTGGATACAAACTTTGTAAATTACGTGTGTCCGGATATTATGGTTTTCGAAAGTTAAAAATACTTTGACTGAGATGAGTAACCAATTTCGGAACTGTAATGTAGACAACAAGTACCTAAACAACAAGTACCTAAACAACAAGTGCATAAACAAATACCTAAACACCAAGTACCTAAACAACAAGTACCTAAACAACAAGTACCTAAACAACAAGTACCTAAACAACAAGTACATAAACAACAAGTACCTAAACAACAAGTACCTAAACAACAAGTTCCTAAACAACAAATACCTTAAGAGCAAAAACATAAGCAACAAGGTGGGCCTACCTAGCCAATTTCTTTGCGAGCAAAATGATATTTCGATTCAAGAATGTCTTTTGACTGTTTAATTAAAAATCAAGTTTTCAAAAAATAAATATTCTAAAATTATGCAAGAAGCCTTAAGGAGTTTTTTTTTTTTTTTTCGTATAGAATGAAAAAGTCCCGTATAAGATTAACATTCATTATCGTTTTTTAAAAAAAGTGCTAGTTTTAAATGTTAACATTTATTCTTTTTTTCTGTTACTAAAATCAATAAAAGTCCCGTATGAGATTAACATTCATTATCGTTTTTTAAACAAAGTGCTAGTTTTAAATGTTAACATTTATTCTTTTTTTCTGTTACTAAAATCAATTTAGGAGGGCCAAAAAAAAAAAAAAAAAAAAAAAAAGAAAAACATATTTTGAAATTCAAATGAGATATACATATTTTAGAATATTTCTCTGACAAAAAGAAGGACAACCATCAGGCTCTCATCACTTATCTAACCTGTAAAGAAATAAGACCCCGTCAACTTTATTTTAGTTAATCCCCTTCTTATCAAAATATCTCGGTTCCGACCCTGAATGTGGATATGATGTTAAATATCTCAAATTTTGGCTCCAAGCGAAAACACACAATTATTGCAAAATATTATTTTTTTTAAAAATCATCGCTTAAGATGTTACAGGTTTAGCTTTTTTTAAATTCATTTATTTTTATATTAATATTAAATATATTTTAAGATAAATCCGGCATATCTCCCCCACCTTCACTTAAAGTTCACTGTTTAATTTAAAAACCTGGCAGCGCCGGTGAATACAAATCGAGTCTCGTTGCATAGTAACAGGAGCGGCCATCTTGTACTCTAACCACTTGAAATGAAACTGTGAGTCTTTATCCTGTTTGAGCTCTTTTAAATTACAACATGTAAGCCGAACCAAACGGTATGGAAAGGATTGTGGGTATTTTGAGGCTAAAAAAAGGGGGGGGGGGGAGATAAAATGTGGGGGGGGGGGGTTCAATGAATATGTTTGACATTTTTGTGTACGTGAAAGTCTTCTTTTAAAATGGGAATGCTATTGATGGCTTTTGGAGAAGAGACGCTAAATCTAATTTGTAATTTTACAACTTATTTTTCAATACATTTTAACAAAAATTAAATCTAAAACGATTGAGAAAATAATGTTTAAGAATAAATGAATTATTTCCGTAAAAATATATTTCATTAATTCTTAAGCATTATTTTCTCAATCGTTGATATTTTATTTATTTTTTTTTAATGATAAAAAATAATAATAAAAAAAAAAAAAAGATAACAATTAAAATCTAAAACGGTTGAGAAAAATAATGTTTAAGAATTAATGAACTATTTCCTCTAAGATTTTTTTTCATTTTAAGAAACTGGCAAAAGTTTTTAAAAAAAATAATGCAAGCTTTTGACATGGCGATATCTGCAAAAATAGATAAGCCAAAATTTTCAAGCGAGTTTAAATTTTTGAAATTTAAATCTAAAAGTTTTTATACGCAAGTGTGTGATGTAATGATACGTTTATAGATTTATGTCTTGTTTTTTTTATGGATTGCTGTTTATAAAAATTTTATTAGAGAATTGATTTATTTAACAATACTTTTAAATCAAGTCAAAAAGAAAAATAGATAATAGTACAGCATGAAGCATAGTATTTCAAGGCTTCACCCATACAAACTACATGCAAGGTTAACAGTTATGAGATTTTTCTTGGCTTTGAAGCGATAACCTTCTCCTATAGGTGAGGGTAGTGTATCGAGATTTAATTAGGTCAACTTCATGTCCCACGTTCACCCATCGTTTGATGCAATAAGAGAAAGAGAGAGCTGTCTATAATCTCTGTGTGTGTGGGGGTAATGTGTGACAACCGGAACAGGATATGTGCAGTAGGACGCGCGAAGACAAACACAAGGTGTGACTGTCGCACACGTGAGGAGTAATTGACGTGTGCGTGACGTGTGGGTAAATTTCTGTGCGGTGTGAATGAGCCGTGTGTGATGCATCAGTGTGGGTGTTGTGGGAGAGGTTTGTTACGGCATGACACACACACACACAACCGTAGGGCTCGGATCGGAATATGAAACAAATGAAAAAAGAGACCCTTGGAGAAGATGGGACGCAACCACCTCGAGATGAACCTCATCCAGCCACCGATCTCGGCCCATCTCAACGTTAAGGCTGCTGTGGCAACCCCGACAGGGCCATCCGGAAGTGGAGTCCCGTAGGCTGTGTGAAACTCAAACGACTCCCAGCAACTCCCCCCCCCCTTTTGGCAGTCGAAACGACCGTTTGATGTTCTACTTTCGGTAAGGTGTCAATCAAAACCCTCACCCCCAGGTTGCACTGGTTTCGCCCGAGCCGCTTCCGGTAATAAAAAATACACCATCGTCTTTCTGAAACGAGGGGATGAATGAAACATCCTTTGAAAAGGTATATAGCAAAAATCAAGATAGTGACTACCTCGTTTCATTTAAACTATGCGGGATTGCAGCTTGACATAATGATAATTGATTGCTACGACTTTGTGAGCATATTGCTCGATATGTTAATTTAGTTTAGTAAAGTACAGGAAGGTTTGTGGTCCATTTCCTCCTTGCTTGCGGTTCGAAAAATCAAATTTAAAATATATGGTCCCGAAGGAAATACGTTGTTTATATTTAACGTCTCCTCACTCCTCGGTGTCGCAACGAGTCCGACTTATTAATAGCATAAACATTATCCCCGTTGGAAAATCCTGACAATTACCCACTAATGTTCTCGTGAGCGCTGTACGCTTACATCGTCTATTAATAGTAACAAATGGCAGACTCCAGTCGTGCCAACCTTCGGCTGATGTTTGTTTGCAGACGCCCCCAAGTACCACGGCGTGTTCTCCGCGTTTCTTTTCGACAACTTGCGTTAATCTTCGTGCCGAGACAACAGCTGGCCCCCCAATCCTGGTAAATTAGTTCGCGGTTCAAGGGGGAGACAAATGGTAGAAAAGGGCCCCACAACCGCCGCGTGGATATCAAATTAGCTTCCTACAGTTAAGCTAATGAGGAATGAAGAGAAAGGACATCAACTTTGTTGGACCTGACCCGGGTACAATTGTTTGAATTGGGTTGTTGTTTGTTTGTTTAACAAAAAAAAAAAATATATATATATATATACCTTCATCGGTGACAAACAGATCAAAATCTTGTAGTAAATTATACGTGAATGATGTATGCTGTCATTAGCATTTGAGACAGTACATTTATGCATGTTCGATGAAAGATAAACTTATGTCGGGGTGAAAATACAAGGAAGAAAATACGAAAGTTCATTGAGTTTGACCCTCGGGACATTGTTGAAATCTCTTGCTAAATCCCAGGAAATTTTATGATGAGTCCCAGGCTATTTTAAAGAATTTAAAGGAGGTTCATGTAGATTTTAAAAGAAAAGTCACATTAAACTCTTCAGATACTGTAGAATAGTGTTATAACTGGTTATAATTCTTAATTAATTAATATAAATCATTTAATACTATTTGAAAGTGTGCAGTAGTTGTCTGCACTACATTAAAGCAGTTGTCTCCCTTCGTTTTACAGGGCAGCACATCACAGAGTTTTTAAAATTAAAATGGTGGAATGTTTGACGACTTTAGTAGTGTTTTGGTCGTCTACTCAACTTTATACCTGTATACCTTTATACGTTTATACCAGATATAGGTGACTTTAGTAGTGTTTTGGTCGTGTACTCAACTTTATAACTGTATACCTCTATACCTTTATACCAGATAAAGGGTTCGAATCCCTAAAGATATAAATTTTCCGCCTATTCGATTTTAGCACTTTTTTTTTTCAATTTTATTACGCCGTGGCTTAAATTGATCAAAAAAAAAAAGGTATGTCACATCTTAAAGTTAATTTCAAATGTTAAATATATTGCAAAACAGTCAAATAGTGCAAGACAGTCAAATAGTGCAAGACAGTCAAATAGTGCAAGACAGTCAAGCTTTCTCAGAAATCTGCGGTGTAAAAGCTTGTGATTCCTTATAATATTAATAAAGTTCATAGGCCTGAAAAAATGTATGTATGTGGGTGGGCCTTGAAAAAGGGGATGGGGGCACTAATTGGGATTCTTATCAAGTTCGTCACTTGTGTGCATGTTCAGTAAAATTCTCAGCCTCACCCTTCACATTGCTTAATAAGGACATTTTATCAATGATTGATACGAAACACTTAGTTCTTAGGGGTTGTTTAATTGTGGCAACAAAATTCTTAACACTATAGAAATCAATGCTTTGAATACCCACCGGTATATACATCCAAATTTCAAACATTTTGATTTTGAGGAAGTCTTCATTTTTTTTTTATGTCAGCTAAGCAGGACACGGCTATTGTATACAATATCAAAAATATATTTACCGATTCACTTACGCATAATAAAATTTAAACGAGGTAGGTAGAAAAGAAAAAAAAAAAATAAAAAAAAGAAGAAAAAAAAAAAAAAAAAAAAAAAAAAAAAAAAAACTACGTGTTTGTGCATTTTTAGGTTCGCGCAACTCAACAGACTCAAGATATTATATAAATAATTGGACATCACTACAACACAAAAATATAGTCAGGATTTTGGTCCAAATGCTATTTTCTTAAAGGCCTAAAGGGAATATAATTTTCTGGGAATTAACAGCTTATATTTCCCCCCCACCCCCCACTTTTTTTTTCGATGTTCATTTGATGGCTAACGTTATCATAAAGATTGGAGCATTCTTCCCCCAAGGGCACAATCGATAAGAGGCATGGTTTGACATTGGGCAATCATTTCAATCGTTTGCATGGTCTCAAAGATCTGGCGGTAAGTTAGCATGATCTCAAAGATCTGGCGGTAAGATAACATGGTGTCAAAGTTCAGGCCACATAAGTAACCGACTCAATTTATTTATTTAAATGAATTTGAAGCTGCTGGCTATAGCTTGGCAAAAGTCTTAACAAATACAAGAGCAATGATTATAATAATAAATCTCAATGCTAATAAATCAACAAAATATTTGCAACCTCTTTTCTTTGAGCCAGTGAGGAAACTATGCCACTTAGGACGTTCTATCAGAGACCTTGTGTCACTTATGATAAATTATGACCTTTTTGTTTTTGGTAGCAACACAAATGTAAAATATTTGATTATAATAAATTATTTGGATAGCCCGTTTTGGGGCTGTTTCCCCAATATAATCATGGATGTAAAAAAAAAACAACAAATATAAGAGAACAGCGTTAGCGTTTGGCTTAAAACTTCATACATATAAAATAAATCTCTGATTTGTATAATCCCACACTATGCCAATGCGTACATACATAGTCTTTAATGGTGTAGTCTGGTGCCAATATTTAGCTAATGACTACATACAACCGTAAATTGAATTATAAGACAAGACCAACAGCGAGCTAATGACTGCATACATCCCACCATGGAAGTGTCCCATAATGCACACACTGTGACACAATTTTGGAAAAAAAGACTGACCTTTTAGCTTCTGAGTTTTATTTCCTCTATTTGTAATTGTGATATTATAATTCAGGGACTATTGTTATTTATTCAAACGCTTTATCCTTTATCTCTAAATTATGAAGTTATAACGCCCCCCCCCACCCCAACCATTTTCTTGGAATAGATCAGGTGATATGTTGACAACCTGTTAAGTCAATCTGTAGAAGAAAATCAAAGCAGTCGTCATGACGCCACATCAGATTTGAAAAAAAAAAAGTATCATTCAACAAGAATTGGATTCAAGAGCAAGCATTGCTCCACATGCTTTATTTTTAGACACAATGGCCTTGACTTTGGATGTGATTTATAAAAAAAAAATGAATTCCCCTCAGTTTCTACATAAAATATATCGTTCCAGGTCTTTGCGCGCCAAGACACTCGAATCTCCAAATCTGCTGCTTGACTGAGTCTGGGGCCAACGGTCTGAATTCGTGCTTTAATTAACATCAAACTCGTCTTCTAAAACCCCTTGTAATCCCGCCCCGTTTTTGGTCTGAGATCTCTAGCAGGCTGACGGAATCCCAAATGGGCTGTGCTGTACTTTCTGTAAGGAGCCTTATATATAATAGAGACAGAGCCTCTAGTGGACAGACCTTGTTCGATCGAAGCTACGGGGGTAAATATCGTAACAAATATAAGGAGCTGAACATAAAGTTCATCAATCTGTTTTTTTAAAGAAAAAAAAATCCAAATTAGCCCCCAACTCAACCCCCCCCCGGGTCACAATCTGTCCCAAATCTCAGAATCCCCCCCCCCTAACCCTAACCCCCAACCCCCCCACCCCCACGGCCAACGTACATCACAATTTCGAATAAAAAATAGTTTTTTTTAAAAATGGCAGCTAATTAAAGCTTACTTGAAAACACCCTTACTCTTAAACTTTTAAATGCATGAAAGTGAAATCTTCTGTAAGAATACATCAATCACAACATAACGTTTAACATCACTGTGAAATTGAAGTTTGCTTTATTTGCATGTTAAAATTAAATATAACATCAGTGACGTCACACACAATTTCTTAACTTCGCCCCCCCCCACACCTTGTGAGTAACTGTCAGAGTGTCTTAGACCCCCCCCCTCCTCTCCCCAACCTCTCCGTAGCGTGACGTTATTCATTGACCGCTCTGGACTGTCATCGGATAATAAACGCAATCATTTTAAATCTTACAATTCAACGAAATAATATTTTAATTACATGGTATTTTTTAAAGAAAGATTTTTTTTTTTTTTAAAAGCAACACTACTTTTTTGTGATTTCACAGTCTTTTCCTCTTGTAGTACACAAAGGGAGGGGGTGAGGGTGGTGCTCTGCGGCCCCCCCCCCCCCCCCCCAGTGACTCTAGCATTTAATCATAGAGAATAAAGATAAGAAATCTGGCCATGGCCCGCTGCAAAAAAAAACAAAACAACTCCTGGTGGACAGGCCGTAATGATGCAGTAATGATGGGCCGTTCAACAGGACATCTATATCTGAGAAGTGGCGTTCGTTCAACAGGACATCTATATCTGAGAAGTGGCGTTCGTTCAACAGGACATCTATATCTGAGAAGTGGCGTTCGTTCAACAGGACATCTATATCTGAGAAGTGGCGTTCGTTCAACAGGACATCTATATCTGAGAAGTGGCGTTCTCATCACAGGCTCAAGCTCCCGCGGAGGATTCACGAGCGTGTAAATCTGTGAATCAGTCAATTAATCGATTCTTTTTTTTTTAAAGGGTGTGTGTGTGTGCGTGTGTGTGTGTGTGTTTGTGTGTGTGGTGGGAAGAGCGGGATCTCCTTATAGAGACGTCTTTAGATCTTAGAACGTCATTTATGTCATAGGGCAGGAAGACATCATGCTCGAACTCGATACTGATTTTTTAATGGTATCGAAACGTGTTTACATTATAATTCGTATCGATACCTAAGATTAGTGTAAAAAAAAACATTTTTTACAGGTGTACATATAGCTATACATTTAAATGTATAAGTATAGTATTATTGGGTGTGACGGCGCTGTACACTCTTGCGTCATTACCTTGAGATGTCAATGCTATTATGTTACCAACATTTTTTTAAATATTTCACATCGTAAATCCATTCATCCACAAAGCTTAACGCGAAGCGGGTGGGGGGGGGCAGGAAAAGGTGGCTGGGTTGCCTAGCAATTTTTGTTTGTTTATTTACAAACACAAAACTAATAATACATTCTGCCATCTGCTATGTCAAATTGTCTTATCGAACGTAATAAATACAATTTTAAAAATGAATCTTACTGGATGTTCTTGTACTACTTAGAGCAAACAAAGAACATGGGGTTGATATTTTAAAACAAAAATCATGTGTCTTTTATCATGACCACAACCAGAATTTATCTAAGTCATCAAACCGCTGTTCGTAGTGTATAAGTTGAGGACCTCCGTTGTCTGAATGAGAACAGGAATCACGATACCATCAAACAGATAAATATCGATACCTCACGACATCGGCTGGGAGACTACTCCTCTCTGCTATCGCCCCCCTCCTCCCCCCCCACCTTACACCATCGTCTTAGGGACCAGGCCATTACGGATGAATGGGGCATTTTTTACTGTAATTCAATGCTCTTAAATTGGTGAAGCTTAGAGGGTGTGCGTGCGTGCGTGCGTGCGTGTGTGCGTGTGTGAGTGTGTGTGCGTGTGTGTGAGTGTTGTGTGTATGTGTGCGTGTGTGTGTGTGTGCGTGTGGGAGGGTTGGGAGAGAGGGGTAGGGGTAGGTGTCATCACGCAGAAATCTGTCGGTGGCGAGATGAAGATACGTGAACACTTCAGATGATAGAGAGACGTGGTTGTAAAGTTAGACATCTCTTACATGAAGGACAATTTAAAAAAAAAAAAAAAGTTGACGCCAATCGAAATCTGAGGTACTGAACCTGACAAGCAATTCAAAATGAAGGTTACTGGCAGGCAGTTGCCATCCTAAGTAGCAGCGAATACGAGGCCAGAGTCCTTCTACGTGACAACTGACGGGGGGTGGGGGAGCTGACGTCATTAACTTGAAATTTCACTGAAAAACATACGACAATGTAAAGTAATTATCAGTGGAGCCCTTCAGTATCTCCCCACCCCCTCCAGGCATACACACACACACAGCCACAGTTCCGCCAACACCCATCGGTCCGCCACCATACACAGCGACCGGTCCGCCCACACACACACACACATCGGTACGCCCCACATCCACTCACACCGGTCCACCACCCCCAAACCTCCCCCCCCCCACTCAAAACAAACACACAGCGGTCCGCCCGCATGATCCAAAAAACTCACAAACATTTCTAGGTTACCTTTCCACCCTTAATTTGCACTCTACACACACATCGGTACGCCCCACATCCACTCACACCGGTCCACCACCCCCAAACCCCCCCCCCCCCCACTCAAAACAAACACACAGCGGTCCGCCCGCATGATCCAAAAAACTCACAAACATTTCTAGGTTACCTTTCCACCCTTAATTTGCACTCTACGAATCGCTAATACTCTACTTGTTAAGTCTTAATGAGGCTATTGATCAAACGTAATGCTGTTGTGATCATGCTTGTTAAAATTTATCATAAGTTTCCCTTTCATTTGATTGTAATGTTAACGGGGATCATTTTATGTTTAAATCAATCGCACTTCAACACAAATACCTTTTATTACATTTTTTTTCCTACCTCATTATCTCCGATTCTCCCCCACATTTTCAGAAATCAATTGGCGAAAATATTTCTCAAAAACCATCATTAATGGCGTTACTTAACTAACATGAACATGCCTCGTTGTCCTGATTGTAAAGGACATCACATTTGAGCCATTTCGCTGCAATCCAAAAATTAGCTTTTTGACCCCCAAAACCATAATAATAAGTCATTTTGAAAATGAAAATTATATCAATGGATTCAGTGTCACTGCCGTACTGTTAATCTACTGCCATTACACTAATGATCCGATTATTACTGTGACCAAAAATTAAAATACAGTTTTAATTTATTCCGTTATATTTTTATCAAGTTGCACACGCGGTGCGAAACAATGGGAAATATAGTGCTCACACTTGAACTCTACGCGCTAATGGTTGTGTTTTAAGGCTTGGGATTATTTTCTTTAGGAACTGTATGTGCTTTACCTGCACTATGTAAGTACAGTGCTAAACTGATTTAATACAAAGCAATAGCTCGATACGATCACTCGTTTTCAGCCTGGTCGATTGATGCTTCCCTCCTCACGATCACTTGCAAAACAGGAAACCTGGCTACGGACTCGATAATAGTTTGGGCCGGCTTAAAACAACAGTTACCATTGCCTTTCAGTGTTTCTAACAGTTAGCTCTCGGGGGTTGGGGGGGGGGGCGCGGCTCACTCGATTTCTGCCTTCCACCTTCCCCCCCCCCCCCCCCCCCCGAGTATGCTGGAGCCAAAAGCATATACCCTGGGGCGCGCAACGACCGAAGTGAATTCATGTTGTGTATGTCCAATGGCTGCCATGATGCGCCTTCAGTTTTAGTTGATATACCCCACCCTCCAGAGTGCTTAAAATGTCCCCTCCCTGGACCAAATCTTCTGAAAGAAACACTGAATGATGGTATGCGCAAAATGCAACTCTAGTTATTGAAATCATAAAAAAAATATTTCATTGGCGGGATGAAAGCCTCCCCACTTTCGCTCGGGAGCCCTCGGCGCACTCCATTTAAATCTGCTTTCCTTCATATCAAACAAATAGCAGCACCGTTTTAACTTTTAAAAAAGCACCAAAAAACCCCCAAAAAACTCTGGATGTAAGTAATTTAGATGATTCTCTTGAGCAGACAAATATATCGTTTTGCCTTTAATCTTGTATTTAGTTTGAGTCCAGGAAAAAAAAATTAACTAGGGCCGAAATCATTACCTTCGTGCCGCCGGAACTGGCATGAATTTAATTTATTTTAGCTCAAGTGGGCGGAGTTTTTGCCGCTCCTGGTCACCATTACGCTTATTTTTTGGCGTTGATCGATGCCGCTCACAGGGGAATAGCTAGCATTAGTACCGCCCTGGGCAGGCCAAGATTTTTTTCGAGCCCCTTCCACTATAACAACTCTGCACTAGGCCTAAAATTCTGCAAACCAAAAAAATGGGGGGGGGGGGGGTGAGATTCCGCGGTGAGACACTCTTTGTTCCCCATCCTATGCCACCTGTACTGCCCATACGAAATTCTGTAATGCCCCCCCCCCGAAGAACAAATTTGAAATAAAGACTGCTACCTTTAAAGAGAAATTCCGGAGGCAAACTTGGAAAAAAAACGACATTAAATCCTGTATCTAATGAATCAGTTTTTCAAAATTCTTTAAATTAACTTCGCTTTTGTTCGTGTGTTTCTTTCTCGCTGGGTGGCGAAATCTTCGTGGGACAAATTGACCCACTTCCCCGTCAACCTATCGATACGACCATGATAAGACTTTCTTTACACGAAGTCGCGATGCGATCTCGGTCGCCCAATGCCATTGGGTCGAGTAGAATTGGGTGCGTAGGAATGATCCGCCATCGCCGAGCAACGCTCCAGCTGGCGGACAGCAGTGTATGAAGGAATCAAAGAGGCGGAAGCAACGCTCCAGCTGGCGGACAGCAGTGTATGAAGGAATCAAAGAGGCGGAAGCAACGCTCCAGCTGGCGGACAGCAGTGTATGAAGGAATCAAAGAGGCGGAAGCAACGCTCCAGCTGGCGGACAGCAGTGTATGAAGGAATCAAAGAGGCAGAAGATGCGCGAAACGAAGCCCTTGCCACCAAAGGAGCATTACGGAAGGCGAGATCTAACCATGAGTCAAGGTTTCCCTGCGAGAAATGCAGTCGAGACTTTCATTCCGGGACCGGCCTAGTTAAGCCATTTGATGAAGTGTGCTTAGCTACTCCATCGTCTAGTAGAGACGGAAGGACGCCATGTTTCATATGATTTAAAAAATATAAAGACATCGTTTAATTTAACACTGCCGAGCTTAATCATGAAAGAATTAGAGATTAATATTTGGTTTAAAAAATCCAATTCCATCTCTTTCATGTCCTCAAAACACAATCTGCACGAAGAGGGAATGTTTCGCCCGCTTGACAATAAGTGACAGAACACTGTGATTAAATAATTGCAACAATTATAATTTTGTTGATTTTTTTTTTGTTGATGAAGGCCTCTCAGTTACTCTCAGTGGCAAGTTACAAATAGCATGGCAATACATCTTCCTAGGTCTTGTTACAAAAATCATCTGACGCTGTGTTCTGTTTACAGAGCATGATGATGGATGTTTATGCTTTCGTCTCAATTTTAATGCACTCTCATATCTCAAGGCCTGGGAATTTTCTGAAATCCCTTGACTGCGTTTAACCCCAACAATCAGCAGACGATGATATTTTTTTTTTATTATACTTCCATTACCGGTAACCAATCCATCATTTCTCTGATACATTATTTTTTACCTTTTTTCGTACATAGTATTGCTGAAAAGAAGAATAAAAATGAAATTGTTCATTATTTATATGTTAAAAAAAAAAAAAAGAAAAGTTTGTTTTTATGATAAAGATATAACTTTTTGATTTCTTGTACTTTAAAATGTGTTGGCGAAAATATTTTAATAAGGTCGTTATACCCTAAAGACCGTTTTAAAAAAAAAAAACGAAAAAAAAACCAAACCGTTTATTATGCTACACGATAGAATACTGAGCTGGCTGTAAGAATAAACCAAACGTTTATCAAGCTACACGACAGAATACTGAGCTGGCTGTAAGAATAAACCAAACGTTTATCAAGCTACACGACAGAATACTGAGCTGGCTGTAAGAATAAAGCAAGCTCGATTACACATTTAAAAATAAATACTTTCCCAAATGAATAATTATACTAAGTATATTATTATGTCTGTCAAAAAAAATAATAATAACATGCAGCCCTTGTTCTTGATTGGTCCATTTAGTGTTCAAGTGCGGGCGGATGAATTTTATTTATATAACGATGTAGGTCTTCTTTTATCATAATATGAGTAATACGAACCAATGTAATTCGGCTTCACTTAAGCCAGTGATTCTCAACCTTTTTAGTGCCACGACCCTTTTTCTACAGTTTCTGGTGTCGTGGCGACCCCCCAGCCACACAATTATTTTCGTTGCTACTTCATAGCTGTAAGGATATGTGTTTTCAGATGGTCTTAGGCGACCCCTGGGAAAGGGTCCCGCGACCCCCAAAGGGGTCGCGACCCACAGGTTGAGAACCGCTGACTTAAGCAACGCAGTGAACATACATTTGAAGAAAATATTCGCAAGTTATCTTTTAGTTTTTTCAACTATGTCATATAATAAAAAAATAAAAAAAAAATAAAAATATTCGTAGTGATAATCAACTATTTTATTTGTCGATTGTGTCCGACACTCCAAGTCTTATGATAATAAATGATAGTCATCTGGAAGTTCTGTGGGACAGAGTTAGTCTGAATGATTCACAGATGTGAGGCATTGGTCGGGTTGGGTGAGGGGCGAGGGGTATGGCCATACCCACAAGGCTCGTCCTCTCAGTTTATTGTAAAAAAAATAAATGTGGGGTGTAATATTTAAGCACTAGGACTACCTGGTCGTTTTATCAAGGACTACCTGGTCGTTTTATCAAGGACTACCTGGTCGTTTTATCACGGACTACCTGGTCGTTTTATCAAGGACTACCTGGTCGTTTTATCACGGACTACCTGGTCGTTTTATCAAGGACTACCTGGTCGTTTTATCAAGGACTACCTGGTCGTTTTATCAAGGACTACCTGGTCGTTTTATCAAGGACTACCTGGTCGTTTTATCACGAGCGGATTAGTGCTTGGGGAACATGACCTTGACCCGTTAAGCCCAAGATACCTGGAGTCTGGAGATGATTTAAAGTGAAGTTTTGAAAAATTCTCCTAAGTTCTTGATAAAACGACCACGTAGTCCTTGTGCTTAAATATTACACCCCACATTTACTCCCTGTCAGTAAATTTAAAAAAAAAAAAAAGAGAAGAAATGTAAACCTTACTAAAATACAAGAGTCAAGAAAATCAACAGCCTATTGTGTAAAACTAGCATAAGAAATCCCATGGCCATTATAACACTAATTCCACGCTGTATCATTCAAACACATTTGCTTGGCCGTTTTTTAAGATTCACCCGAAATACTTGTATTTTTGGAATGTGGCAACTGCTTGATTTGTACCTTCTAATACGATTGATGGTTCCTCTCTATCATTTGTGTGTGTGAGAGGGAGAGAGAGACGTACACAAAATAAATCGCACAGAGAGAGAGAGAGAGAGGGGGGGTGTAAAAGTAAAGGAGAGGGGGAGGGTGATTGTGAGAGAGGAAGAGAGAGTGGAAGAAAGATGGAGATGGAGGTAGAGAAAGAGAGAGAGAGAGAGAGAGAGATAGAGATAGAAAATGAACGCTTTCGTTACTAGGTACACATAACTTTTTTTTTTTTTTACTAATTCTCTTGTAAAATTTACCTACAATTGTATTTTTTTTTTTTAAAAGTACTTTTTATTAGTAAACCTATTAATAGAAAATGAACGCTTTCGTTAATAGGTACACATAACTTTTTTTTTTTTTACTAATTCTCTTGTAAAATTTACCTACAAATGTATTTTTGTTTTTTAAAAGTACTTTTTATCAGTAAACCTATTAAGATATATATATTTTCTTTGTACAATGTAAAATAACAGTGTTTATTTTTTTCTCTTCTTTCCCCCGCTTTGCTGAGATCAGCCATGTGTGACCGTTCCATTTTTAACAGGTAAGCTATGTTTTGTGAAATTTTCTTATGCAGAGGCGTAGCGACGGTCATCGAAGTGTTCTGGGTGCTCATTTTAAGTAGAAGGAACCACTTGTTGACTGTAAATTAAAAATTTAAAATAATATAAAACGAAAATTTTCTAAAAGATTATAGAGGCTAAAGATTTATATTTTTTTCAGATCAATAATCGATCTGCAGCTTGGCGTCATTTCTCTGCCAGTTTTGTCTAGTTTTTATCAACCAAATACAGTTTCTGTTACAATAAATTTGCCGTTGGTACATATTAATGTTGTCTTGAAACTGTGAATGGTGGCTGGCCATTGGCTTATCACGTGCTTTGCAGCAACCAACAGGCTGGGAATATGACAGAAGAGGGATGTGGTAGGAAGAGGATGTGGTAGGAGGAGAATATGGTAGGAGGAAGATGTGGTAGGAGGAGGGTGTGGTAGGTGGAGGGTGTGGTTGGAGGAGAATGTGGTAGGAGGAGAATGTGAGGGGAATACAGGTGAAAAGGGATTTGAAAAAAGAGATGTAGCAGGAGGGTTGTTTGGTGGGGGTGCGGGTAAAGGTAGAGTGGAAGATGTGTGGGGGAATCTAGTTGGAGGAGTGTGTGCGGGGGAAAAAGGGACGTAGAAGAAGAGTTATTTTGTGAAAAGGGGGAGGAGGCTAGAGGTACCAGTGGGAAGTAAGCAGGAATGTGTGGTCAGAGGATATCGTGGAAGGAGTGATTACGCCATAGGGGAAAAAAATTAAAAGTAGGGATGATGTGGCAATTCTTGGGCGATGTGACCGGCCATATAAAATACCTTACGCCAACAATGTATTGTAATTGCCTGTTCGTCCTCGGTTACCACTCGAAGGCAAGACTTCGTGGTGTCTCAATCATCACAAACTGCCAGGGGTGCAATTAGTGGGACCTCTAGATTGAAGGATTAACTCTTGGTATCTGGGTTAGTCCTGTGACAAGAGCAGACCAAAATAAACTTTGCTGTGAATCATGTGTGTTCCCACATGACTCTTAGTTTTTTTTTCCATCGTTATACCATGATTAAAAAAAAATTATGTGGAAAAAACCCCAATATAATCTCTTCTTGTATGTTAGATGATCGAAGATTTTATAAATCGCTTAAAGGGGGTTGTAGAAAATGGGATTATTAATACATCGAACATTGCCGTTGACAGCATATGAGAGGTTTGGTCTGCGATAATGTCTTTAAGTAGCTAATGAGAGGCAAACAATTTGTTTTACTAAAAGGTATATGCTAAGCTTGCTGAAGCACCACCCTGCTATTAAAGCACATATGGGCACAACAAGTAGCAGCATGACCACTGCAACACGTGTCCCTATGTGATTGAATTGAAGATATCACGTTACCTCTGAAAATGGACATAACTAAAAAGGTTTTTTACCTGCACAGTCGCAAAGTGATTCACAGCATCCTTTATGAATAGTGCGAAAAATTATACTTAGGAGAAACGCCTTGGAGACCGTTTTAGAGAATACCTGTACAACATCAATAAACAAAGCCCTTTGTCGAGTTTCTGAACATTTCAATAGTGCTAACCATCACGGAATTTCGGACATTGCAGTTACAAGTATATTGTATGCGAGGGAAAACAAATGCAATACAAGGTCTTGAAGGTTGATGCCATACTGTATAAAACAAGTTCACACTTGAACATATCTGCAATTTTTTTTTTCTGTTTGATTTTATATCGTACTTCCACACACGCTCTTGGTTACGTGTGCCCATTCTTATTCATTTCTATTCTTTTCATTCATTTAAAAAAAATAATTTCTTGGATATACTTATAGTATTTAAATTTAAGCTATATAATTGTATTAATTTTTTTTTTTGTACTGGGGGAGGTAATAACATATACGTATGAATTTGAATTTGTCTTTTGTCTGATCATAATTCAAGCTTCTTGTCTGTTGTTTTACCAACTCAAAATATTTGGGTCTCATTAATCAGCTGACAGCCGTTGAGAAATATGATTGTTTTATACCCCGCACAGCAAGAAAATATGTGGCAAATTAGACAATCAGTTACTAATACGCCTGACAGACCAAAACGGAATAATTTACCAGATCAAATGATATTTTGGCTATGAGGAGATGAACTCATTTTAAAATATATGTTTCCAAACCGCTTGAAATCGTCATTGAAGTGCTTAAAAATGTTTAGTTGTATGATATTTCCTTTAATATTGTAGGATCGCATTAAGATCTATTCCGGAAATTGAAGACAGCTCTGCCTGAAATGACACACAATCCTCACAGTCATATCTCTTTATCCCTGAACCAACACTAGCCCCATGTTTCTGTTCCAAACGGATTTAGTTAATTGGGAGGGGGTAAAATATCCCATCAAGTTCCGGATTAGCCATGATCAAAATCTCACTGTTACAATGGCAGGGCAAATAGCCTGTTACAGACCGGAACAGGGACGTTCCGGAAATGACGACATGAGCGGGTTGTCACCTAAGAGGACGTTGTCGCAAAGGCTGATAGATTGCTTCGAGAACGTCAACCCGGTGGCTTCCGGAGTGATGTATAATCTGGTTTGGAGGAATTTGGCGAAGCGTGACCGAAACGCCCCATAGGTGGGCCCCCGTGAACTCAATGTGATGGGAATCAGTTGTGTTTTAGATGGGGAGATGGTCTTAGAACTTATCCTTGATTATCTATAGGTACAAATTTAATAAAAAAAAGAAAATAATATGTTAAGGCAGATTCTAATACTGAAAGTTCATCTTATCTAACGCAATGAATCGCCAGCTAATTTCTTTTTTAAAATTGTTTTCAATCTGGACTTTAGACTTTTTCAATTCTTAACATAATTATGCGAAGGAGTGCGTACAGGTTAAAGTAATAAGAAATATATACTGTAGAGAAAGATTTGAAGAAGGACAACAAAAAAGGGGGGAACTTTTCGGCTAACAAGCCTTCGACAGTGAAAACACAGAGACAGCCAAACTCAGCTGGTATATAGATATTGAGTTGAAAGTACTGAACCAACACAAAAATATGATGTTGTTTTGCAAAGTTGCCAGATTTGGCGGTCTTATCTTGAATGCACAAACCTCGATACTTTGATGATGGTTTTGGGAAGCTTGAAGACTGTACTCTAAGCAACTCAGACAGTCTAGCGGGGGAAAACTGAATGTAGTGAATTGGTTTTAATTTAAAAATAATTTTTTGTTGTTTGTTTGTTTTTTTTGGTTGTTTTTTTTACATCGCCGCGAATCGAAGTTCTTGCGGTTTATTTATAAACAATGTTGTCAATGAATGATGAATGCTGAAAGAAATGGAAATTACACTAACGCTGATAAGATCTTTTAACTGGAACATTTTTTTCAAACCACGCTCGCTCTGTGAATGCGACAGCAGTGACCACTGAAAGGCTGATGAAGGATGAGTATTATGACGGACATAAGATGATTTTTTTTTGTTTTTTGAGTGGTCCAAAACCACATCCACGTATTCAGGCACAGAGACGTGCGATGAAAGCGACCACAGAAACTCTCCCTACGGCTGACCTTGAAAATAAAAGAAATATTTCAAGCATCGCAATCAGCATTTCTTTAAAAGAGCGGTTCTCATCCTGTGGGTCGCAACCCCTTTGGAGGAAAGGGGGGGGGGGTCGAACGTCCTTTACACAGGGGTCGCCTAAGACTATCGGACAACACATAATTATAAAGTAGCAACGGAAATGATTTAATATTTGCGGGGTCACCACATCATGAAAAATTTTATGAAAAGGGTCGCGGCATTAGGAAGTTTGAGAAACACTGCTTTAAAACATCAATATCTTTTTTTATACGGCTAACCCATCAAACCTTTTTAGAGAAATTACTTTAAAAATAAATGCACAGTTAATTTTTTTTTTAAATTCTAACAATTCCTTTAAAAAATGTTATTATAAAGCAAATTATGTTAAAATTTTACGATTTATATTTCTTTATATATATTTAAAAAAATCATATTTTAAAATGAAGATAGACTTTAAAGGGAGAATGTTTATTAATTGATTAAGTCTTTATGTTAAAAAAATTATGAATATGAAGCTAGATGAAATCATTGAATCATTATCAGCCTCAAGCTTTCATAAACTGAATTTGATCTATTATAGATATTCGTAATATATAGTCTAGCGTATAATGCATAGTTTCAAATAAATGAACAGTTTTTAAACAGTGGATCGATAGTAGGTTGTGTCGGCTATATCGTTTTCTTTTTTGTGTATCGAATTGAAGTATGTATTAAGTGTAGCATTTAAATGTATTCGCGGAGAACATAATCGTATCGGGAAAGTATTCAAACGCCCAATTTTTTTCCTTTATCGTGTTCATATTCCAAAAGGTCACAAAATTGATTTATTTGTACCAAGATATTTTATATTGCTTTTGAGTAGTTTATAAAATATGAAGGAGTATTATAGTAGGCTACGGAGTAGTGTGTAATTTATCGGGGTATTATAGTAAAGTAATGAGTATTGTATAATACATGGGGGAGTAATATAGTTAACTACGGAGTAGTGTGTAATTTATCGGGGTATTATAGTAAAGTAAGGAGTATTGTATACTACATGGGGGAGTAATATAGCTCACTACGGAGTATTGTGTAATTTATCCGGGTATTATATTAAACTAAGGAGTATTGAATACTACATGGGGGAGTAATATAGCTCACTACGGAGTAGTGTGTAATTTATCGGGGTATTATAGTAAAGTAATGAGTATTGTATAATACATGGGGGAGTAATATAGTTAACTACGGAGTATTGTATGATATATGGGTGAGTGCTATAGTTAGGGATTTGACTGAAAGATTAGCAAGGCAATTCCAATAAGTAGTAAAATACACCGAAAAACTTTGGCTACAACATGTTAATTTACTAGAGCATTATCACGACATTGATGGAATTTCAATTTTCACTGTGTATTTAATATGTGTTTCAGAATATAGTGGTGTTAGTTAAAACTGTTTTCTTCTTCCGTTTTCCCCCAATCAATTTGGAATTAAATGCGGGCTTAAAAAGAAAAAATATAGAAATTATAAAAAAATGTTTGCTTTAGAAATATAGGACTCACTTCTAATGATAATTTAACTTCAATAATAACTACACAAATTACAGTATAGCTAATATGAAAATATTAAGATATATGAAATTAGCTATCGTATTTATCGGCGCATAGCACGCAGTTTTTCTCCCTGAAAATAGGGGGAAAATGATTTGTGCGTGTTATACGCCGATATAATGTTCAGGACCCATAGTACATACCGCATAGCCGCGCGAATGGTGCGTGTTATATGCCGGTGCGTATTATACGCCGATAAATACGGTCTTTCTATTTTTTTTTAATTTTTTTTTTTTATTTTTTATTTTTTTATTTTTTTTTGTTTTTGTTTTGTTGTTGTTAGGGAAACCGTAACTCGAGTTTCAAGTCCAGCGTTATCATCCTTGTCTTCCGAGCTTGTCTCCCATGACATCTCCCCCTATTCAGGTAGTCATTTCTAGAACCAAGTGGTTTCTTCTAAGTTCGATGGATTTAGATTTGATGTGAATAGAAATCTATCGATCCTTCCAGCCCACCAGAGCCCCCCCCCACACCCCCCCTGGCCCACCCTACCTCCTTCTCCTTTCCGCCCATGAGCTGTCTAGGACATCAGAACTGCAGACACTGTTCTGGTTATAATTTATTTAAAGTTTAATTTCATTCGTTTTAGAATTACATTTAAAATATTTTTTTAAAAAAAGATTTCATCTTTACAACAGCAATGGGCCGCACGAGGTGTATCAATGAAATATGAGAACAGTCAGTATCACGAAACGTGGTTATATACTTAAATCCTGATGATACAAAACACACAAAAGGTTCTAAATCAGTGGTTCTCAAAAATAACTGTGGGGTGTCCCGGGGGGGGGGGGAGTAGCAGTATAAGGATAAATAGATCTAGGGCCACGTTGGGACCACCCTAGAGAGAGGGGGGGGGGCGGAAGCAGTGCATTATATTAGAAAACCATTTTTTTATAATTCAAATTTATTTAAAAGTTGAAGTCAAAAATGATTTCATGTTATTGGAAGGACTACCGACTCCAAAACTAGTCCAACATTAGAAGGGGTTTTCAACCATAATCAAATATTTACGGAGAAATTCGAAGTTAACGTACTTTACGAAAATAGTGAATTTACCTCAAAGAGGAGCCGACGACATATGTTTTTTATACATATTCAATAGTCGCATACATATGAAATGGTGGTGTGGTTTAATGGCTTGACCAGAGCTTTCAAGCGCTGTGACCTATGTTAGCACTGGTGAGACCGGTAAATGCCATTGATGACGGGGGGGGGTCAGTCCTCAGGTGCTTTTTTTTTTTAAACAAGAACATATCTTTTTAAGTGGACAGAAGGCAATGCCTCTGTAGAGGTTGGTCATCGTAGCGGTTACAGGTCGAAGCTAACTAGATTAACTTAATTTTAAGTTTGTGTTTTCTTGGAAGAAATTTGAGAGAGAGGGGGGACAGAGAGGGAGAGAGAGAGGGAGGGGGGAAGAGAGAGATAGAGTGAGAGAGAAAAACAGAGAAAAGGAGAGAGAAACAAAAAGAGAGTGATAGAGATAAAGAGAAAGAGAGATAAGGGGAGAAAGACAGAGAGAGAGGGAGCGATTGCGAGATATAGATTAGAAGAGATAGAGAAATATAGAGATAGTCAAAAATAGTGAGAGATAGAGAGAGAGAGAAATAGTGAGGGATGGATTTAGAGAGAAACAGAAAGAAATAGGGAGATACAGAGAAAAGAGAGAGAGAGAGAGAGAGAGAGAGAGAGAAAGAGCAGGAGAGATAGAGAGAAGTAGAGAGAGATAGAGAGAAAGTGAGAAAGAGATCGGTAGAGAGAAACAGAGAGAGAGAGAGAGAAAGAGAGAGTAAAGGGACAGATAGTTTACAAGTCTCCTGCTGTTTCAGATCTTATTAAGGGGTTCATTTCACAAACATAAATCTTCCCACAAGGCCGTTATAGTAAGCATCATTTAAATTGGCTTCTCTACTCTAGGGATGCTAGCATCAAAACACTGAATCAAACTCAAACACAAGACGGCGACAATGGGACTAGGACTAGACACTGTACTCAAGCTATGAAGACGGAGGCAGTGGGACTTGGACTAGACACTGTACTCAAGCTATGAAGACGGAGGCAGTGGGACTTGGACTAGACACTGTACTCAAGCTATGAAGACGGAGGCAGTGGGACTTGGACTAGACACTGTACTCAAGCTATGAAGACGGAGGCAGTGGGACTTGGACTAGACACTGTACTCAAGCTATGAAGACGGAATCAAACTCAAATACAAGACGGCGACAATGGGACTTGGACTAGACACTGTACACAAGCTATGAAGACGGAGGCAGTGGGACTTGGACTAGACACTGTACTCAAGCTATGAAGACGGAGGCAGTGGGACTTGGACTAGACACTGTACTCAAGCTATGAAGACGGAGGCAATGGGACTTGGACTAGACACTGTACTCAAGCTATGAAGACGGAGGCAGTGGGACTTGGACTAGACACTGTACTCAAGCTATGAAGACGGAGGCAGTGGGACTAGGACTAGACATTGAACTCAAGCTATGAAGACGGAGGCAGTGGGACTTGGACTAGACACTGTACTCAAGCTATGAAGACAGAGGCCGTCAAGTATTCTGTTGCATATCTAATACTTGACCTCATATCATATTTTCTGGGTGATGTCAAATATTTGGGCTTTTCTAGGGTTTTATGATTCTGGCGACTGTTTAGAGGGCGTGTACCACTTGGTCATACAACGAACTAGCTTGATTCAACCAACACTAGATTCATAGTACATAAGGCGTTTATTTCAGACAGCATTAAAACACCCATCTGGTTTACATTGAGTTGAGACATGAATCCAAATGTATAACAAAATTCCACTCAGCAAAACATCTCGTCGTGGCTCTATCTAAAAATCCACATCTCGCTAAAGCTCGCCCTATCTCACACTGTTCAAAGTTCCCAGTTCACTCTAGCGTCTGTGAACATACTATCACTACCATCAAGGGTTGCAGGGCGCATGTGGTGTCTCTGCCTGTGTCTCTGCAATAAGCAAGGGTTGCAGAGCGCATGTGGTGTCTCTGCCTGTGTCTCTACAAACAGCAAGGGTTGCAGGGCGCATGTGGCGTCTCTGCTTGTGTCTTTGCAAGAAGCAAGGCTTGCAGGGCGCATGTGGCGTCTCTGCTTGTGTCTTTGCAAGGGTTGCAGGGCGCATGTGGTAGCTCTGCTTGTCCACTTGTCATCATGATCACTGTCGACTCTATAGAGTCATTAAATTAATGTTCCAGTTTTGACTGGTGTATTACAAGACCCACCGTCGGTGTGTCTGGTTGGACACTGTGGTAATCCTTTGACTTAGTTCCGAAATTAGGCGGTTTAGACGCGGACAGAAATTGAGGTTAGAATTAAGGGAAAATTATGTCGTGGCCGTAGGAGAACGATTTAGATTGGTGAGAAATGCGGGCCTACAAATAAGACTTACAACCTTAATGTAAAGCTGCAATCATGTAACTTTATGGGCTTACTAAATGCTGTTTAAGGGTAATAAGGGGAGAGACTGCAGTCAGACTAAATGCTGTTTGATGCGAGTTAGGATAAGGGTGGACTTTCCAGGCATTGACCCAAAGCTCCTACCGAAAAGTAAGTCCTACCCAATCACCAGCTCATCTTCCATTTCTGCTATTAATCATTCGTCCTCAGTTGTAAAGTTTTTCTTTTTCGTTACATTAAAATGTTCTCTCTTTATTAATAAAACAAAAATAACAAGAACGAAACATGCCCCCCTCCCCCCCTCTCACATCTCCTTTCACCCGTTGAGTGCTACAACCGGGTTAAAGGCTAGATCCGTCAAGGCCCCGGTGCATTCTCCCAAACAAATGTCTTCATTTCTCTGTCGTCCACAGAACTGAAGGAGCGCTTCATCCGCTGGCTGGACCACGACAACGACGGCCAGTCCACGTTCGACGAGGTCAAGAACTACATCAGACGCTTTAAGCCTGACGTCACGGACCAGACGGTGGCCGCTTTCATCAGTCGCCGAGACAGCAACGGTAACTGGGGCGGGCGTCATTGAGTTGACGGCCCCTGTGGTGGTGTTAAGGCTTACACGCTGTTGTGTTAAGTCGTTCTGCTTTCATTTGAACTGGTTTTTCTGGATCATTTTAAGCCTACTTTTAGGAATCTCTGCAAGGAGTCTTACATTCTATATAGATTCTATCGCCTTGATTTAACTCCACCCATTTCTGAATAATTTTAGCTAAAGCGATCACTTGAATAACTCATTTGTGGAGATGTTAATTTCCAAATGTCTATTGTTGCGAAAAGTATTTTTAAGATTAAATTTTTTGAAATCTCTGTCGAGGGGTTCATTCGATCAGAGCAGTAATTATTTTAGTTAAAGACATAATAAAAGTGGGTTCATTTGAAGTAAGATATGATAAATAAGTCGCTGTAAGCTACTAGTTTGCAAACCAAAAAAAAAAATGTTAAAATCTATATTTTGGAACTTGCTTAAAATAAAATCAATAGAAATCTCCAAACTACAAATATCGCAGGAAATAATTATTATAAATAACGAGGAGGCGAAATCTGGCCTGGAGAGTTTGAAATAGTAAAACATTATCATAAAAGATGTTTCTATTATTCGTAGACTTACTAAAGGATTTTAAAATCGAATAATTCACTGACTAGATTTGTACATGGTAACTTTATAATTTTAAAATGGCTGCGCAAATCAATAGATTTATGAGTTAAAAATAACGTCCCTCGATCAACACATTATCAATAACAGCTAAACAAAAATCAATCCACGGTTCTGGGAGATTAAAGACGTCACTTCGCCTTAGTATGGTGACAGCTGAGCACTTAATTTAGCAAAACAATTCTCTAAATTAACGCCATGAATTAGACACTTACTTAACGATGTATAATTCATTCCTCCTTCAACGTGTTGTAATCAGATGGCTGAATGCCTGGGGCAAATACCTTGTCAATCAGGCAATTCGTCTCATTTGATGGCGCCATTGTAAGGTAGAAATATAACTTTAAAAATCACATGCCTGTCTTGTGAAAATAAATGGGATAAGTCGAAGTACCTTTCGACTAATTCAAAAAAAAACAACAACAAAAAAAAATGTATTTTAGAAAAATAGTTTATAAAGCAAAATAAATATGAATTCATTCTAATTTCGTCGTTGACAATTTCAAAACTGGCAATTTACTTTACATTCATTTCTACGCCTTTGATGACCTTAAATCTAAATATAAAAAAAAATTATTTAAAAAAAAAAATGATAGTAAAGATAAAAGAAAAACTTTATAACGATTGAAAAACTTTCTCAGCCAATATTTTTCATTCATCTTTTGTAGGCTCCACACTCCACTGTTCAGATTAAGGCATCCAAAACACAATCAATCTTTTTTTCTTTCTTTTGGTATCCACTTTCATTTTCGAGGCACCACTTTTAATGGTGTTATGAAATTATGTAAACAAGTTCTATGGACGAATGAAAACCAGGTTATGACATGAAAGCTCGCAAAAAACGTCTGATGTTATTTCGGAGTGTAGTTCCATGGCAGACATAAAATAGCCAAACTTCGTCTGTGAAGTCGCCTTTGGATGGGATACTTCTGATCAAACATGAAAAAAAAAAATTCATTTGAGGAATATGCGTTCTGAAATTAAAGGAAGCTTCACATTATTTCAATCAATATTTTGTTTATTTCAATTTAATCGTTATGGGTATTGTTCATGTAGGGATTATTAATGTGTTTACAGCGCCGGATTTGAAATCCTTTGGAGTTTAGGCGCTGGTGATTTGACCAGTGAAGTAAAAACGTTCTTCCTTTGAAGGAAAATAAACACTAAAATTTACAATGTAATCGAGAATATTATACAATACAAAATACTAACACAATCCCCCTTGATCTTGTACTCTGAAATTATCCATGCAACTTAACGTAAGATTCTTCTTTTCCTTTTTTTTTTTCTTTTCTGGCCACTAAATCTGAGACTGACCTTTGCCATCCATCGACCACCGTATCTGGCGAGGAGTAATCGATAATAGAATTATGCGGGTGACAGGCCCAGGGACCGTCCCCTTTATGACGTTTTAATGTCGCAAATTATCCGAGTCCATAAAGCAAAGACGACGTCGTGTCGTTGGCACGGGCCCCGCACAAGACCGTATTACCGATGCCACTGTCTGGTACACTAGAAAATGCTTTTAATATATATATATATATATATATATATATATGGAAAAACAAACAAAAGAATGGTTTAACTTTTAAAAAAAATGCGCTTTTTAAAACTATGTCGGAAAATGTTCGTCGTATGTAAGTGGTGTGTGTGTTTTCTGGGCTGGGTAAACATGAGTTTAGGATCTTTTTGTTAACTTATGCTAAAAAATGTAACGGAAAAAAAAAAAATTCTAAATAGGGTTTTAAATATGTTTCGTCAAGATTTTTTTAGTCATGTTGAAATGATGGAAAACCATCGCCTTGGTCATATCTTAATTTAATTTTTTTCTTATTTGAAAGGAAGCAAATTAATTTTATATAAAGAATGAAACAGCTCTTGAATATGTAAAAAAAAATAACTTTGAAAGAACAACGAAAAGAAAATGTCAAGGCATGATCCCACCCCCCCCCCCACACACACACACACATATTTTTTCGACCCAAAAAATAAATTTATATAAAGAAAGAAAAAGCTCCTGAATATGTAAAAAAAAATAACTTTGAAAGAACAACCAAAAGAAAAAGTCAAGGCATGATCCCCCCCCCCCCCCCACACACACACACACATATTTTTTCGACCCAATAGTCGAGATTACAAATTATTTGTTTGTGTTCATCAAAAGAACGTTATCATTTACAACTACTACCTGCCATAGAAGTCAGTGGTCGGCAAATGTTTTGGGAGCTGGAGCTAAACAATGATATCATTTACAACTGCTACCTGTCATAGTAGTCAGTGGACGGCAAATGTTTTTGAGCTGGGGCTCTTTGATAAATTGTGTCTGCTCAGAAAACATTTAGGCAGAGCCGCATGCGGCCTCTCAGACTTTGGACGCCCTAAAGCCTCATGGGATTAGGATCAACCCCAAGATTTATAATACTTAGTGGCGTCACCAAAACATAAACTAAGAAGAGGGCCTTTAGTTTCACTACCTACTCAATGTCCTTTAGCTTCACTACCTACTCAATGTCCTTTAGTTTCACTACCTACTCAATGTCCTTTAGTTTCACTACCAACTGAAGGTCCTTTAGTTTCACTACCTACTCAATGTCCTTTAGTTTCACTACCTACTCAATGTCCTTTAGTTTCACTACCTACTGAAGGTCCTTTAGTGTTACTACTTACTCAATGTCCTTTAGTTTCACTACCTACTCAATGTCCTTTAGTTTCACTACCTACTGAAGGTCTTTTAGTTCCACAACCTACTCAATGTCCTTTAGTTTCACAACCTACTCAATGTCCTTTAGTTTCACTACCTACTCAATGCCCTTCAGTTTCACTACCTACTCAATGTCCTTTAGTTTCACTACCTACTCAACTTCCTTTAGTTTCACTACCTTCTCTTGTTCAACATTGGTCACAACCGTAAACTAAACAAAGAGACCAAACAGTAGCTTGCACTTATGTACCTACTCACTCCATCACTGTACATCATGGCCAGGCATTTCTTTAGGATTAGGGTCCCTAACAATCCGTGGTCACACGCGACGGTACCTGCGCAAATAATAGGCTAACAGATTCGCAGTGACAACAACAATGGTGGAGTCGTTGAGTCCATAAACATGTGCTAATCCTATCAAGGGGGCTCTACTCATTTTTATATGATTTTTTTTTCGAATCCATCGTATTACTAAATAGTTGTTCTTTCTAATCGAATTTAATACTTAATAGTTGTTCTTTCTAATGGAATTTAATACTAAATAGTTGTTCTTTCTAATGGAATTTAATACTAAATAGTTGTTCTTTCTAATGGAATTTAATACTAAATAGTTGTTCTTTCTAATCGAATTTAATACTAAATAGTTGTTCTTTCTAATCGAATTTAATACTAAATAGTTGTTCTTTCTAATCTAATTTAACACTAAATAGTTGTTCTTTCTAATCTAATTTAATACTAAATAGTTGTTCTTTCTAATCGAATTTAATACTAAATAGTTGTTCTTTCTAATCGAATTTAATACTAAATAGTTGTTCTTTCTAATCTAATTTAACACTAAATAGCCTCCAGTATTAGTGATACTAACTTCTTGTATTTTTTTTTCTGTGCACCTAATTAAAACAAAGAGAGATTTATTTACCTGCAGAGCAAAGGCACCGATACAATGGATTTAATATTATATACTTTAAGCTCTATTTAAAAGTCTCTATTTAATGGGTCTTCTCTTGCATTAAATATATTAAAAAAACAAAACAAAACAGCAAGTCTAATCTGTATTAATTCTTGGTATTGATCATGTAAGAAATCTGAAATCGGGAAAACTGTGTTGGAAATTTCCCCGTTAACATAACTTACCGAGAACATATTTCAAATAAAACAATGTTTTTCTTCTCTTAACAACCCTTGAATGAAAGAAAGACGATTATTTTCTAAAACCACGATTGACTTTTGCTGAGCACACCCTCCTGAATGGAAGTAACACCATCCTCTTTCGATTCGACATTTTCATCACCTTGTTCCCCTAATCACGCACCCACTTAACTTAATAGACATCGCAAAGTTGATAATGTTTATCTCATTAGGAATAGGGGGACCCGAGATTTAAAAAAAAAAAAAAAAAAATCATTCGAACGTAATTCCAAAACTACATTTTTAAGATTACATTTACTGATATATAAAGTTTTAAAAAAATTGGAAGGTGTATTAAATTGTACTCCAAGTTTCAACCGCAATAAACTCTCCACCGTCTACTCAGGGAACGGCGCCATAGACTTCGTCCCCGAGTACGTCCACGACATGGCGGCACCAGACTACACGCTCGAGGGCGCCAACGAGTGGTTTAAACTCCAGGACACCAACGATGACAGCTTTGTAACAGGTGAGTGCACGTGTAGGTCAGTTTAACGAACAGAAAATTTTTTTTTTTTTTTTTTTTTTTTTTAAGTAGTTTATGTTTTTCGTTTAGTCTAGGGGTAATAAGTAACAACGTTGAGATCTGCTATGGCTCTTTGATATGGATTTGATACGGCTCTTTTATCAATAATTAACTCGACAGCGTGCCTTTTCCCCGTCCAGTGTCTCTCTGCAACTCACTAACTACCAAAACAAACAGCGTCATCTCACGGAACAGTATTCACATGAATGAAAGAGACTGAATACAAAATATCATTTTTAGTACGATCAGAAAAAAAAGGCAAACCGCGCGCATTCAAAGCACTTTAAATTTTCAGAGTTTTAATAATTTGGCGTGGTGTTTCTGCTGTGAGGGATTCAAAATCGAAGCCATATTAATGACGTCACAGCATGTAAAGGTAAATACTTGAATGTCGTCAAGCTGTATAGATATATATATATATCCTTATATCCTCCCAACAGAGGCAGAGCTGGTCAAGGTGGCAGAGGCTGTCGGCATGTCCCCAGAGGAGGCACTGGACACTGTCCAGGGTTATTACATGTCCGCCGATGCGAACAAGGACGGGAAACTTTCACTTGATGGTATGCTGTGGTGGTGGCGGGGAAAGGGTGATGCTGTGGATGAGTGGTGATGTGTTGGCGGTGGTGATACGGCAGTTTGGTTCTGGAGGTTGGGTGGTGCCAAGGTTGAGTGGTGCCAAGGTCGGGTGGTGCCAAGATCGGTTGGTGCTAAGGTTGGGTTGTGCCAAGGTTGGGTGGTGACAAGGTCGGGTGGTGCTAAGGTTGGGTGGTGCTAAGGTTGGGTGGTGCTAAGTTTGTGTGATGGTTATAAGGTTGAGTGGTGCTAAGGTTGAGTGGTGGTAAGATTGGTTTGGGTGGTGTTAAGGTTTGTTGGTGTTAGGGTTGATTTGTGCTAAGGTTATGTGGTTGTGAGGTTGGGTGGTTCTAGGGTTGGGTGGTGCTAAGGTTGAGTGGTGCTAAGGTTGATTGGGTGGTGCTAAGATTGGGTGGTGCTAAGTTTGAGTGATTCAAAGGTTGGTTGGGTGGTGCTAAGTTTGGGTGGCTCTAAGATTGGGTGGTGCTAAGGTCTGGTGATGCTAAGGTCATTTGGTGCTAAGTGTAGATGGTGCTATGTTTGGGTGGTACTAAGTTTAATCGGAACTAAATTCGGGTGGTACTGAGGTTCTGTGTTGCTAAGGTTGGATGGTGCTTGGTTTGGGTGTATATGAATGGTTTCGTGTGAGGAAAGATGTGTGCCATAATTTAGCATTCAGGAGCACTTCGGACATTTTTAACTTGGTAATGCACAAATTACATGGGTTGGATCCTTCAAACAAACCTACAGAATGAAGGTTTACCCTGATGCTTCCAGAACAGATCCCTGTCGTTGCAGACGGCTTCAAGGCAGTATATTATCCCTTAATTGAATTTTCAAAAGGTAAGTTCCACAGTATTTTGGAGCTGTCCATTCGTCCAAGAGCGTAAAATTTCTTGCACGTTATCCAGGGGCCCAGATATGGTCGGATCCTTTCTGATGGTTAAGAGTAAATGATGTTCTCTTTCTTAAAAAATGACCAAAGTGCATTGTTTTGGATGCTGTTGTTGAAGTGATCCCGACAACGTGCCAGTGTTGGATTGCAGAGACGAAGATGAAAGGATTTAATGTTTTACCTAGTTACAGTCGTTTCTTAGCAGTTACAGATTCGATCTCTTCATTAACAACCCATGCGACGAGGGAGGTGGGGGTGGTTTGGTATGAAAGGAGGTATTTTACTGCTAGCATTTGAGAAGTGTAACTGTAAAGTTCTACCAGCATTGCATATTTGAAAATCTAGAAAATTAAAAACGGCTTAAGTTTTTAATATGTAAAATAAATTTACATATTTCTTTTTTTTTTCCCCTTCAGAATTCAAGACACTGTACAGCCCTTAAGATTGGAGACGCGAAACTACACCATTGGGTCTCCCTTTGACGTCATCCGTGTCAGAACGTGCAACCCAATGACGTCACGTCGTGTCATTTTGCGATAAAAAAAAAATAACGAAAGTGATTTTGAGCTTGATTTTTATTCTAAATTTAGATACATTTTAATATTCATTTCTGAGATAATCTTTTTTAATAATATATTTTACTCAACCTTTAAATTATCATTTGTTGAAATATGCTCGATAAAATGGGAACACATTTTCAAGAGATAGTGTAATCTTTAAAATTTAGACAGAGGCATGGATATCAGATTATCTTAAAAAGAAAGCATCAAGCATAAAAGTTTTTTTTCTCCATATTTTATTTATTTTATTATGTTATTTAAATTTAAAAAAAAATCTATTTTAGGGTTATTTAATGATGCCATTGGTTAGATATATTTTTTAAATTTCTATTTTATGCTTTGTAAATCATGGTAAATTGAAAGGATAAAGAAATTTTAGAGATCACTGAAACATGCCATTTTGTATATAAAAAAAAATAATAAGTTAGAGTGAAAATTTTTTAAAGTATTTATTGCGGGGCGTTTTTATTGTCTTAAAGAGTTACAAGAAATATATTACTGCATTATTTAGGCTCATAAGTAATTAAGCTTCACTGTCATCCATTTTATGAATAGTGTTCTTATTCTCTTTGTCTCTCTGTAAAATTTATATTTTAAACTATTTTTTTTAAGCAAAAAGAAATTTGTTAAAAAAAACAACAAAACAATAAAAAAAAAAACAATTTATAAAAAAACCCAAAAAACTCATCGTTTAAGTTTAAGAGAAAGAATTTTTAGACATTAAAAGCAAAAATAGTAAGGCGAATGTTCTGGATTTTATTGGCACAATTTTTTTTTGTAAAACTCTGTCCATGCCATAATATCAATCAGATTAAACTTTTACAAATCTTGACCGCCTTTTTTGTTACAGTCTTTTATAAAGGGAATTCACAAAAAGAAGTCGGTGCATTTCATATAATAGATGTGTGTTTTATTCTCTAACTAATAACCACACGAGTGAGAATCCTCGCTTCACTTCACTTCAGTTTTGGGGAAAAAAAAATGCAACAACAAACTATTAAATAAGTAAAAACAAAAAATAAAAAAAAGTAGTGTTTATTACAATTGAAACATTCCTTTTCAAAAATATTGCAATCATTTTCGCTAAGTTATGTAGTTAAAGTTGTGCTTCATTGACAAGCGATGTTAGGGGAATTAAAATGAAGTTATTTGAACATTAACACATTATTAGTGGTTTAGTTTGTGTTTATTACAAAGAAAACTGGGGGAATAAATCTTTACACACGAATATACTGTTAATAAAAGGTTTACATTGTTTTCCTCCCCTTAGCAGCCATCTCTTTCTCTCCTTCGATTTGAAACTTTAACAGAATTTGAATAAGATAAGAGATAAAAAAAAAGATAAATTAAGTGTAGATAAACAAAAAATTAAACATATTATTCTCTATTTTTAATTCTATTCCAAAAAATAATTTTTACTAAAAGTAAATAAAATCTTTTTTTGAAAAATAGTGTAGCATAAATATTTTGCTCCCATAATTTAAATATTGAAATTTAAAAAAAAAAAATAAAAAAAAAATTACATTTTAATGTACAGAATGAAATGATAAAAATTCTTTTTAACCAGTTACAATTAAAATCATCGCAAAAATGTTATTTAATGGTGTGTGAAAAGTTCTAGGGAGAAGGGGCCAAACGCACAGCGCACTTTCATCATTAGTCATGAAAGCTATGTGTATTTTATAATATAGTTCCCGAGTAGATCTTGTCGGACCCACTCTCAATGCGCACCGCGATGCGCTCTCATTCGCTGCTTCTCCCGTCGTACGCACCAAATGAGCACCAATAAACTTATTCGTTACCCACCGCTTATTGCTGATTTAGCAGATGAAGTCCAAGACAACTAAGCATTGTTGGATATTTGGAGCACCATCTGGAACTATATTTTTAGAGATTAAAACATCTTCCCATATTTTACAAGCGCCTAGTGGTTGTGTTGCCCCCAGCTAGTTAATATATGCATTTTGGGAAGAATGCGCATGACGTCATGGTTTTTGCCCCCGAGGCAGCTTGTTGTGGGGTTTTTTTTCCATCTGCATTAGACAGCGTTTTAATAGTTTGAATATACATGGATGTCACCTCTTACTGTCACTTCAAGCAGATTGCCACACCAAAAAAGTTTGGGATCCTGTGATAAAAACACTATTTGTTCAAAACTCATTTCAACAAAGTTTTATCAGGCTCCTTTACATAACCTTTTGATTTTGCTGAAATTCTGACTTTATGAGATATTTTTTTCACTTTCTTTATTATCTGAACCCATCTAGGAATTTTTACAACAAAATGTTTGCTCAATTTACTGTGAACATTTCCCAACGCGTGCATTATTGCGACAGTGTATCGCTATTGATTGTTACTGTGTCCCCTAAAAGCAACTTTTTCCTCCGGCGACTTTCCAGCCCTTTGCCCAACAATAACTGTGTTTTCACACTGCATTTTTCTAAATCATTGTTGCTAGCTGTTACTATTGAAAAGAATTACTTTATACACTCTTAATGTCTCCCATTCTATCTGCTGCTGCTTATCACATTGTATGCGGATACTCAAACCTTTGACATAAGCAAAAATTGTAAAATAAAAATAAGAATCAATAAAGAACAATTAGCGAGTGTTTAGAATAACGTGAAAATGTAGATTCATTTTGTCATATTAAAAAAACAAAACAACGAATTGTTCTGTTTCATTTTTAAAAAAATTCTACAAAAAGTCGTTGAAATAATAATCAAAATTTGCTTAAGCAAATGTCTAAAAAAAGATTATGTGACGAGTGTCAAGGGAAATAAAAACTTCGAACAATGTGAAAACCCTGGGGAAAAAAATTCGACATTAAGTCCCTTTCATTATGAATTGTAGAAGACACCTCGAATGAACACTCGCTTGAACGCCCCAGAGCCATCTTGTCCGAAGTATGTTGTAAGGCTGAGCCAGTAAGTAGGCCTTTAAGAAACTTAAAGCGAGTCATCCATCGAGTTGGTCTCAATATTTTCAAACTAAAATACTCGTTTCTTTTAAGATTTATCATCAGTTTAGTTTGGCTATGGACTATCATCAATTTAGTTTGGCTATGGACTATCATCAATTTAGTTTGGCTATGGACTATCATCAATTTAGTTTTGCTATGGACTATCATCAATTTAGTTTTGCTATGGACTATCATCAATTTAGTTTGGCTATGGACTATCATCAATTTAGTTTTGCTATGGACTATCATCAATTTAGTTTGGCTATGGACTATCATCAATTTAGTTTGGCTATGGACTATCATCAATTTAGTTTTGCTATGGACTATCATCAATTTAGTTTATCGGTGGAATATCAACCGTTTAAATGTCTCTGTGTTTCATCATCAATAGACTTTGTCTGTGGTATATCATCTGTTAAGTTTGTCTAATGAATATCATCAATTTAGTTTGTCTATGGAATATCATCAATTTAGTTTGTCTGTGGAATATCATCAGTTTATTTTAACGGTGAAATATCATCAATTTAGTTTGTCTGTGGAATATCATCAGTTTATTTTAACTGTGAAATATCATCAATTTAGTTTGTCTGTGGAATATCATCAGTTTATTTTAACTGTGAAATATCATCAATTTAGTTTGTCTGTGGAATATCATGAATTTCGTACGTCTGTGGTATATTATCGATTAAGTTTGCCTGAGGAATATCATCAATTTATTATGTCTGTGGAAAATAATCAGTTTAGTTTGTCTGAGGAATATCATGAGTTTAGTTTGTCCTTGGTATGTCATCAATTTAGTTTGTCTGTGATCAATTTATTTTGTGCTTTGAATATAATCACTTTAGATTGTCTGTGAAATGTCATCAATTTTATTTGTCTGTGGAATATCATGAATTTAGTATCTCCGTGGAATATCATCAGATTGGTATCTCCGTGGCACATCATCCAGATAATATGTGTGTGGTATATCATTAAGTCAGTATGTCTTAAAAAATATAGTTAATATTAATTTAAAAAAAATTAACCTAAATACCAACAGAAACTATTTAATGATAAAATAATAATATTAAAAAAATTTGAATTCAGTTCTAATTTAGGGATGTAAAAGAGGAAATCATCTCTTAATATAGTGACGTACTCGTACAGAATAACATTGTGATCCAAGGACCCGTCAGACCGTAAGTTACACGGCGTGAAATATCTGAAACCATCTGACACAGATATTCATGTCCATTTGAAAGCGTTCGATTTCGTCTATCACTTCGTTAACAACTATCTGATAATATATCATCGCCAGTCGCACAATAAAAGGTGATTTACTCAGTTTGCAATGTATACTATGTTATAAATTTGTAAGGTACAGAAAAATAAAAAAATAATTTAAAAAATAGCAACATTTCTATGTGAAATAAGATGACACGCGGGGAATAATTTCTAGTACCATACGATTAATTTGTACCTTTAGGTTATTTCTCCTAAGGCTGAGCCGAGTATCCTTTATTTTTACACCCGGTCCGGATATTTTGAGAAAATAACCGCCGGATCTGATCCGAGTGTTACCGAAGAGAGTTAGCTCTCATTGTCCGTGAAATGTTCGACCCAAAAGAAAGAAGGGAAGAGTATATATAATATATAACCAGTAGCCTTGTTCAAAACCAGTAGTCTTGTATAAAACTAATAGCCACGCATAGAACAAGTAGCCACGCATAGAACCAGTAGCCACGCATAGAACCAGTAGCCACGCATAGAACCAGTAGCCACGCATAGAACCAGTAGCCACGCATAGAACCAGTAGCCACGCATAGAGCTAGTAGCCACGCATAGAACCAGTAGCCACGCATAGAACCAGTAGCCACGCATAGAACCAGTAGCCTTGTTCAAAACTAGTAGTCTTGTATAAAACTAATAGCCACGCATAGAACCAGTAGCCTCGCATAGAACCAGTAGCCACGCATAGAACCAATAGCCTTGTTCAAAACTAGTAGTCTTGTATAAAACTAATGGCCACGCATAGAACCAGTAGCCACGCATAGAACCAGTAGCCATGTATAGAAAAAATCAGCCTTGTATAAAACCAGTAGCCATGTATAGAGCCATCAGCCTTGTATAGAACCACTATCCATGTATAGAGCCACTATCCATGTATAAAGCCACTAGCCATGTAAAGAACCACTAGCCATGTATAGAACCACTAGCCATGTGTAGAACCAGAAGTCATGTATAGAACCAGTAGCCATGTTAAGAACCAGATGCCATGTTTAGAACCCGTAGCCATATGTAGAACCTCTTAGCCCAAAAATTGAGAACCACTGCCCTAACCCATAAGAAATAACAAGATCAAACCTAAAGGTCAGCTTAGCCTTGTGAGTTATTGTTGCTGGTTGCTGGCTGGTAGCAGTTGCTGGTTGCTGGCTGGTAGCAGTTACTGGTTGCTGGCTGGTAGCAGTGGCTGATTGCTGGATGGCAGCAGTTGCTGGTTGCTGGCTGGTAGATGTTGCTGGCCAATGGCTGGTAGCAGTTGCTGGCCACTGGCTGGTAGCAGTTGCTGGTTGCTGACTGGAAGCAGTTGCTGGCCACTGGCTGGTAGCAGTTGCTGGTTGCTGGCTGGTAGCAGTTGCTGGTTGCTGGTTGCTGGCTGGTAGCAGTTGCTGGCCGCTGGCTGGTAGCAGTTGCTGGTTGCTGGCTGGTAGCAGTTGCTAGCCGCTGGCTGGTAGCAGTTGTTGGCCGCTGGCTGATAGCAGTTGCTGGCCGCTGGCTGGTAGCAGTTGCTGGTTGCTGGCTGGTAGCGGTTGCTGGTTGGTGGCTGGTAGCGGTTGCTGGCTGCTGGCTGGTAGCAGTTGCTGGCCACTGGCTGGTAGCAGTTGCTGGCCACTGGCTGGTAGCAGTTGCTGTTTGCTGGCTGGTAGCAGTTGCTGGTTGCTGACTGGAAGCAGTTGCTGGCCGCTGGCTGGTAGCAGTTGCTGGCCGCTGGCTGGTAGCAGTTGCTGGCCACTGGCTGGTAGCAGTTGCTGGTTGCTGGCTGGTAGTATTTTTAACTTATGTGATACCAACACACGCACATTAATTTTAAAAATAAATTGTACTATTTATATCATCGTTATGTCGATACCAACATCGCCTGCCTTCAATTAAACCAACAGGTTCACTTATAAATTAGTGTTCAATAAAATTTCTATTTTTAAATTGTTTGACATAACTTAAAAATGATAGAACCAGCCCCCCCGCACCACACACACACACACACACACACAAACACACACACACACACACACAAACATACACACACACACACACACACACATGTTGGCTATTCTTAGTATCTTCAGTAGGTCAGAAGGTCAAACGAAATATAAATGGTAAATGGTGAGTGCCATGGTCGTAACCAAAGGTGAGCATCTTCCCTAACACACATGTTTCCGTTTGTTTGGTCCGGTGTGCTTCTATTTTCACACAAAAACAAGATGTTGTCAACAACTACAACAACAACAACAACAACAACAAGAACAACAAATATCGTAGCTGGTGAAGAGCTCA